CTGCGACAACCAGGTTTTCGCAGTCCTGGATTGCCCTGAATATGGGGTAACATCCGTACTGGGACGTGGCACGGTCCCAAGAGGTAGTGTAGTTTCTGTGTATGTCAGGTGTGAGTCGGGAGTAGTCGATACCCTGCAATTCCACATCCTCGAGATGCGTTCTCGTTAACCGGTTGAAGTGTGCCACTTCGAAACATAAATCGGTGCCTATCGTATAAAGGCGTAATTGTTGGGACAGGTTGATGAATTCCTCGATCGGGACCAGAAGGAACAAGGTCGAGGCGCACCGTTTCTCTTGATATGCCCATGTTCGGCTGAACCACGTATCTTTTGTGATATGGTGTAGTAACGTAGTAGCTCCTTGAACACGCTGGTCGAAAGCACTGGTATGAGCACTTCTTTTTCTTGACAATTTGACAAGAGTCCTTTCCATCTCTCTTTCTGCCTCTTCGAAATAGAGATATGTTACGAAACATTCGAGGAGAGAATGATCTGTTATCGTGACTGACAGGATTGCGACTGTCCATTTGCTCTCTTCGTAGATACGATGCATAACCTTCAAGTGTGACTGAATATCGGTAGAGCTAGTCTGATCGATACACTCCTGATCAATCCAGAGGAACTGGCATTTACGAGATCGTGCGAATAGCATAGCACGATGAAAGACAAGTGCCGGACAGCTGATAGGTCTCGGTTCGCACACCATGTTTTCTGACGATTTCGATATATGATATTGTGGTATCTGACGCAGACCCTTTGTAGATTGCGTATGCTTCCAGCAGTAAGACACGGTGACGTAGTCCATGTCATGCTGGTGCTCTTCCGGAGTAGTAAGCCGGTACTCATTGTAGTTTTCATCTAGAAGCCATTTGTCGCGAGACACGGGTGTAATGAACCGAAGTCTGAGTGGTGAGTCGTAGGATACTTCGTAAAGTGCTAGGTCGATGATTCGCTCTACTTGTTCGTGAAGAACTTCAGGAGTGTTATATGTCTCCCTTAGGGGAACACGGTCATCGCGCTGCATGTTCGGAACAGAAGACTGTTGGAGAGCTAACACGGAGATGAGTGTTGCAGCGTCCAGCTGGAAGTGCCTCTCGGTATCTCGCGCTTATTATCGATATCGATGTCGTGCGGTAAGCCGCACCTGTGGTTTTTTGGTGGACGTTCAGAACACGTATGCCTATGATGGCAGTACCACTGAGAAGTAGCGGCTGGTTTTCTGGGGTCAAGAGATTTTAGATTCGCGTCGATGTTCTCGCCGGCCAGCAATGTGAGAGGGAAGGAAGTGCAGATTGTAGACACCCACGTGCATAGCGGGGTAGCGATGTCACGAAGGAAGTAGCCACACGGCTAAAAGATGCTGTTACTGGATGATCTCGTCACTAAAAAAGGATAGATATAAAGATATCTGTCTGTACTAGCTATCAAGTCTGCATATCTGTTAAAAGATGTAATATTTATGATTTCTTTATCTTCAATATGATATCGCAAAGCTAACAATACATTACACATATTTGCATACCCGTATCTAATATTACGCCCATTTTAAAGTCTCAACCCTATAAACCCAATGAAAATGTTCTTCGAGTCATCGATCCGGAAAGCATCAACTCATGCGCACTGGATATCGCGAAACCCCATTTTGAACGCCTGAATGTAAATGCCACACCATTTTTGTTATCATCAGTACAATGATCGTCGTTTGAGTTTGTTCCTGGTCTTGGTTAGCATTTTCCTGTTACAAAGTCACCGTTCGCTAAAGGAAGGGACTTACGTAGAGCCCCAGCTCAACCGGCTCTTCGGTCTTGCCGGCTCAACACCCATCGCACTGCGGGGTCTCCCCTTCTTCTCCACGTTCTCCGTCTCAGCTGGCTTTGTTGCCTGGTTCGTCGCGCTCTGGGTAGCGTAATACCGTGGGGTAGCTGGTGAATTACGTCTCGGGTTTGGCGGACGCACAGCCTGAGGTAGCGGCGAGGTCTTGGGTGTAGCAAAAGGTTGAGCACCGACAGGCTTGGACGCAATGGCTGATGCAGCGGTAGAAGGACGAATAGACAGGTTCTTGTCCTTGGGTGCAAGCACGCGCCTCAATTTAGACTCTTCCCGCTTCAGAGGCTCTTCAGCCCGTGTCTTCACAGCCTCAGTGGATGTAGAATCAGCCTCCTGGTTCTTCCTGACCATCTTCTGCATCATAACCTTAAGACCCAGACTCCTCCTGCGGTTGCTCTTCAGCTCTCTCAGCTCAGCAGGTGGGACGTCGTGCGACATCAAGCTCCAGCGGTTCGATGATTCCTTTGGCGAACTCTTGCTGCGGAGGTGCCGTTGGGGTGTTTCTTGGATACTTCCTTCGCGTTCTGGTACTACCGGCATGGTTGGTAGGGTCTCCACAGGTGGCGCCTCCTCTGCATGCTTCGTCAGCGGTGGACTCAATTCTTGGATGAGTGTCGCACCACTTGAGCGAGCGGATGAACGATCAGTACGCTCCGTGGAGATGACGCGCTGCCGGGTACGTTGTGATCCAAGGCGTTCGTGATCGAGCATGAGCTGGTACTTTGTCGCTTGCAGCTCGTCGATTGATTGCTTCAAGCGTTCGATCTCGTCTTGATCTTGCGTGTGAAAGCTGGCAGCTGCATCGAGTTCACCCTGTATGTCCTTGACGTAATGGTCCTTCTCCGCAATGGTGTTTCTGAGTAACTCCATCTCTTCGTCCTTGCTAGCGAGCGCTTCACGTAGCTCAGACACTTGACCCTCCATGCGCTGGAAGTGTACACGGTGTACTACGCTGGGACGCGCAGTTTCCATGTCTTCAGTGACCTCTTTCTCTTGATTTAGCTGCACCCTGAAGGACTCAACTTCCTGCATTGCTGCAAACAAACGTGCATTGGCGTCGCTCAGTCGCTTTTCTAGAGCAGCCACTTCTGCATACAGTCGGAGGTTATCCTGCTGAGTAGTATTGAACATGGCCTCGAGCTCGTCCTTGTCGTGTTCGTCCTCATCGATCGTCGGTAGTCGTCCTACAACGGAGCCGGCCCGACTCCTGGGCTGTGGCTCCGCTTCCGCAAGTTTGACCGTGGCCTCTTCAAGCTGCTCTCGCGTCTGTGTATGCCTTTCCCGCTCCTCCTTCAAGGCTTTCTGAATCTTCTTGGCCATCTCCCATGCTCTTTGTAGTTCAGCTTGCTGGTTGACGACTTCTTCGTTGCTCTTGTTATTGAAGGCCAGTTGTTGTTGCAGCTTTGCAATGACCACGTCCTTGTCTTCTTCAACTTCCGGCGATGTTCTGCCTTTCCTGACTCGAAGCAGCCTCACTTCGAGCGCATTCTCCCCATCCTCTGATTCCCGTGGGCTTGACTGTCGCTCCATGGAGATCAACCGCTCCCTCATCAGTTTCAACTGGGCGTCTTTGACTTCCATGATAGTCTTGTGTTGCCGGGCCATCTCTTCCAGCTGGTTGTCGCGATCTTGGATGTTCTTGTCTTTCTGCTCGTTGCCCTTTCGAAGTGCAAAGAGCTCAATGTCTTTCCGATATACTACAGCTTGGTGGTCCCGGCCCAAGTTTTGTTTGATAATCTTCAGCTGTTCGCGGAGGCTGGAGTATTCAGCGAAGGTCTGGTTGAGCGCATCGCGTGCGTTATGAAGCTCCTCCTTGGTGACACGGAGTTGGACTTCACGAGCCTTGTGTGCTGTTTTGGATTCAGTAAGCGATCGTTGCAGTCGCAGGATCTCGCTATCTTTGGGGTCCACAGTGGTTGTTTTTGTATCGCATGTCCCTGATTGTGATGACACAGATGGCTCAATTGGCTCAAAATCTCCATCCTCGACGGCCGCTGTATTGAGATCGGGCACGATACTCCCGTTGGCCTGATCAGAGCGCGTTTGGCTGCGGAGAGTTTCGGAAGGCGAGGGCGAGCGGGGTTGGAGATCTGATTCGCCGTCAGGGTTGGTAGCGCCCGCCGCTAAAACCCGCTGAAACACGTCAAACGCAACCATGACAAAAACCAGTACTAACAAGTCTCCGGCTTCGAATTGATGATTCGTGCAGCTGGCAAGTGCGACGAAGTGCAACGCGTTTGCAATAGACGTTTGATGTCTGCTCGCCCAGGTATCTGGAAGCTGGCGTGCAACGAGGAGAAATGTGCCTGGTAAGGCTGTGACGATGATCGTAGAAAGGGGCGAGTCAAAAGCAAAATCCAACACCCTGCGGCGAACGTCGATCGCAGAATCTACTCCCGATGTGACCCTGAAAGCTCCGGTGTTGCGTGTGGTGCGGAGAAGTTGGTAGACGCCACTTGTGACTGGTCTGTCGCCTTGATCGACGTTAGTTGGCCGTTGTGGCGTTGGAGACGCGCAATAAAGACAAATAGACTGGAAACATACCTGATGTGGTTGTTGCCCACGCGAGCTCAGATGGGTTGCTGGCGGAACACACAGTTGACGCAGTTGTTGAGCCAAGGGCAGGTGACAATGTCGAAGACAAGGCAGATGGCTCTGAAGATGTTGATATAGTCTCTCCTGTGACTAAAAGAAAGCTTTGTGGTAAAGCAGGGATAGGTCCTGTACCCGTGGACAACGGGTAACGTTGATCAGTATGTTGGGCTTCGTCAAACGCTCTCAGCATTCTGGCACGAGCCAAGCTATGGAACGGTTCGGAGGTGAGACGTGGAATCGAGAGTTTGAATTAGGCGAGTCGAAGAGTGAAGCGGGGTGAGATGCCTGGATCGCAGTGATAATAGAGTTCATTAAGGTTGACGTCAAATGCTATACGTTGGGTGTACCGGATGCAATCGCCGTAAAGATCATACCACCAGACTCCAAAAAAGACAAGAACAGACAAAAGACGAACAAGACGGGGCATTCGTGAGATAAAGGGGAAGCCCGCATAAATGCGCAGATAACATGAGGGGTTGCAGGTGCCCTGTGACGCCGTGCTCGACTACATCCGTGATGGATATCGCAGCAAAAGTAATGGGATTCAACAGGGATCCCCGCAACTACAGCTCACACAGCTAAATTTCGAACTGCTTAAAGCCCTCGACCAAGCCATCGCTAATCTTGGACGGTATTGCCCATACGGGCAGATAGTGCTGCACCTCATCGAAGGCAGGGATGTCGCCTGTATTGGCGTCCGACCAGAGGCACACAATCCTTCCAGAAAGTTTCGATTGTTCTTTGGCGTTCCAAGCTACGCTAACGTTCCAGGGCTGACCAAATTCGCGATGCCACAGTCGCACTTCCCGGGCCCCGTCCGCACCGACGGGTTTAAAGCGAGAATCTGAAACAGCGCCGGCGACGCTCAATGCTGTTATGGGCGAGTCGAAAACAATGCGGCATGCGCGCGTATTATGGCCAACAACGCGTATTGTCGCTTTGTTGGAGCTGTTGCCCTTCTGGATCGAATAATCGAGCCATTTGCTGATGTATGTGTTGTTGCGGGATGACGATGCATGCGCTGGCTTCGGCACGACTTTAGCGTCAAGACCCTGCCATTCGCACTGCTTTAGCTCCTTACGCGTCGCGACCTCGGGTGTCGTGCAAATAAGCTGCTTGCCTTGCGCACTGGGTAACTCGCCAACAATGCGTTGGACATAGCCGTCCAAGCCGGTCAGGGACACAATGTTGTCGCCAGTCTCGCAATCAACCCGCTGAACGAAATACACCTTCAAGCGATGATCCCTGCTGAACGGGAACGCCACAAGGTTGTAAATGACAGTTGCCACGCATACCAGGAACAGAAAGGTGGGGATGTGGTACGTGAAGCGGTGGATAAAAGGACCGGTTGGCGCGAGCAGCAGCACCGTAAGCCCTGCGAATGCGAGGTAGATGAACAAGGTCGAATTACCGTCTGATGGCGTCTGGTAAAGGGCCGAGGTAAGAAGCAGACCAACTTGTCCAACTAAGATGATCACGATAGGCGCCAACAGCAGAAGTTGAACAATCCAGATCCAGCTCGGTAATTTGCCGCTCCACTCTTGTTCTCCAGGATACACGTTGCCGAGATCTATCTGCCGGGGTCCTTGTGCATGATCTTCGCCTCCCTCGCTGATGGAGTCTCGCCTGTTACCGCCATATCTTGTAAATCCGCGTCGATCGCCGCGTAAGAGTGAGGTGGTCTCAGTGGCGTCATCGTCTCCCACAGGACGATCATCAGACCGTGCTGCAGTGGTGCTGCCCGTAAGAGGCCTGCTTGCAGACTCTGAGTTGCGTCGCGATTCACTCTCTTGCTCGAAGTGGCGAGCATATGCTGATTTGCTTGGGACAAGGAAGAGCTCAAGGTAGGAAAGGAGGATGGCCGCGAACACAGCCGCAAAGTAGAAGAGCGCGGGGTAACCGGCAGCAATCTGGTAGTCGTTCACAAACACCGTGATGATAGTGAGAAAGACAAAGGAGCCGACGAAAAGCCAGATCAAAGCGTACATACGCTGAAGTGCAGATGGTCGCATAGCATCGGCTCCTCGGGCAAGGAACCACGCGACAAAGACCCATGCCGAGAGCATCATACTGTCAAGATTGTCAGTACAAGATCAAGCGGCAGCATGGATGACTTACCTCCAAACAGCAAATGGGCTGCTATACACAATGAAAGCATTGAATCTGACTATGAGATATGCCAATGCGATAACAACAGCGGATGCGGAGACAAAGATGATAGGGAAGCGAAAGAAGCCGCGCCATCCGTAAAGGTGCACCGGATTGTCGTCGTCTGATGAATGCACGTAGGCCTTACGTGCTAATAGGTAGTTCTTGTCGGCCTTGGAAAGACCAAAAGTCAGGCCAATTAGTGTAAGAGGTGCAACAACTAGCAAAGTAATGCATAAAGCGAAGAGAGTATGCAGTTTGAACACAACGAAAACCCTTCCGAAGAGATCAAACCATACACCATCACTACCAGTTCCAGCATTGACCCTGCCGTTGTCGAGGCTTTCTGGGCCAGTAAACTCGTCACCAGTGATGGAAGCCAGTCCAGATGTCGTGGCTAGAGCTGCTGAAAGCATGTGCCAGACCGAGTTCATTGAAGTTTCGCGTGAAGAATCTTCAATCGTGTGATATCGTGCCCTTGGCTCCAAAAACGCAAAGTCCAGACCTCGCATCCCGAGTTCGCCATGGAAGACTTTGTAGTCAGTCTCGCTCCGGACCAAGCCCCTCTTGAAACCATCACCGCTCACGACTGTCCCGAAGGGATACTTGGACTTTTTGTAGAACCTAGTAATCTCGGTATCGGTGCTTCTAAACAAAGCAGCTCTGCCACCGGCTCCAACCCCCTCAAGGTTCACGAACGTGTGTGGGACTTGAGATATCGGGTTTCGCATGAAAGCTTTGGCGCCATTTAGATAGTCCTCTTCGCCGTTGTTGAGCAGCAGTACCACAGTTCTCTTGGGCCAGTTCTTGGACTCTGTAAAGTAAGAGAGAAGTTGCAAGATCGTCACGACACCGACGCCATCGTCAGTTGCACCATAGCCACTGCTCACAGAATCGTAATGGGCATTCACAAGCACGCCGCCATTTTCCGAACTACGATCAGTAGAGTTGAAAGGTTCGTCATCGTCGGATCCGCGGATAGCGACGATGAGATTGGTACCTTCAAAGTAGACAGAGGTACTACCGGACGAAAAGGTCGCATTGGAGGTCAAGTCGTTGAACAGCTCGACTTGGCCCTCTCCCAGGTCCTTGGACCTGACGATGCTCTTGATGCGTGTGAGTAGATAATCGCGTACATCGTCGTTGGCCTGGCTGTTGTAGGGATGGAAGCGGCGGGTAATGTGCTGGAGGTCGCCCCAAGCTTCGGTGAGGTTGATGCCGGCTGGCGGATTAGATGGGTAGTTTGGTACCGTCAGGTGGGTAACGAGCAGGCCAGCAAAGAGGCCCACGTAGACAACGGTGGTAAAGAAGATGACTGGCCCCGGGGTAAACGAGAAGGGATTAAGGCGGGCCATGGCAGCTCTCGTGGAGCCACGTATCTTCCAAAAGCTCTCGGTAGACGAAGATGACGCAAGACACGGTGGATTCGGTTGTTGTAGCTATGGCGGGGCGCGTCTTGTGCTGCATGTGATGGATCATAGCTCCAAGACGCTAGCCGCATGTGTACTTAGCAGAGAAGGAAACGCCAAGCATTATGTCACCACCATCACACTGATATTGGCCAAAGTCGGAGATGCGATACGCGCATTCTCGCGGTACACAGTTGATCTTGGTATCTGCGAAGAACTACCTCTTACTTTGTCATGGGCCTCGAGGCTGGCATGCCACCGCTCCAGTCGGATGTGGATGCTCTAGACAATGAGGCATCCCCCATAGTAGAAGCCGCCTCCGAACTGCCAGTACTGACGGCAACACCTACAACCTACACGGGATGTTGTCTGGCTCTTAGCAAACCCCTCATCGCATACTTCGCGTCGCTCCTTTCTCAACCCCCATCGCTTGCTCTATCCGTCGGAAGCGGCTTTGGCCTGCTCGAGAGTTACCTCATCGTCAAACCTCACGCGCACCACATCATCGGCGTCGAAGTAGAGCCAAGCTCCAACCAGTACCTGCCTCCCTCAAACCATCGTGTCGTTCACGGTTCGCGCTTCCTCGAGCCGCTCGCTGCGGAGGCTACGACTTGGCTCTTTGTTTACCCGCGACGCGTGGGGCTGGTGCGCGAATATCTGGCAGAACATGGTCAAGGCAGTGTGAAGAGAGTCATATGGGCCGGTCCCAAGGCTGACTGGGATGACTACAAGACTTGCTTCGCAGATTGGCATGTCCAGGAGCAGAGCGCCGAGCTGGTTGGGGGAAGAGCATGGGAATTGATCGCTGTCGCAGACAAAGCTACGCCCTGAGACGATGCATCTCAAGTCAAAGGCTCGAGTGACTCAGGGTCAATCGTCTCTGCGGCTAGAACTTCAAACTGGCATAGAACCCTGTCACTACTGAGTATGCCGATAGCTGCGCAACTCGCAGGTCATCCTCAGGTGTAAGCGATGTTCATGCCACGATGCTGCGTCGACCAATTGTTTGCGTACTCTTTGTCTCGTTGACCACAACAATGAGGTGGTCTTCTTTCGGCGGACACCAACAGTGTGAACTTCATTTTGATGTCAGGTTATCCTCCTTTCACTTGTGTCTTTGCTTGTCTGCCACGACTCAAGTAGGTTGCTTTGTGCCCCTGAGTACATGTGCGGCATCTTCTCGACTTTTGTGCATGTCAAGTGTTGCTCGTCTTAGTAAGACATTTCATCACAGTACAGTATTACAGGCGTGCATACTGACGATATTTCAAATTCGATACACATACCTTCTGGATCCCGCGAAGTCACAAAACATGGCCGCCGCTCTTCCAGGCCTCGCATTGCAAGCTTTTGCAAATCTATGGGGTCAACAACCCGAACTAGCAGCCGGTCTCTACGCTGTGGGTGCAGTTGCTGCTGCTGTGCCGCGCTACGTCCCAACGTTTGAGCAAGCCAAGTTCTGGTGTCAAAAGCCTAGGCAGTCGACTAGACCTGTCGCTGAATCCATACCCGTCGCTAGCGAAGCACTTGGCACAGTCAGTGCGACATTCTCTCGAAATCGCCCGCCACCCGTCGTTGTCATAACGCGATCTGCTTCTCCTCCGCTGGCTTCCGAGATAATCCTGACATCTAAAGACCATGTGGAACCTGAAGTATCGGATTCTTCCGCGCCGTTCAATTCCGCCTATACTGACTCCGACTCTCCAACTGTACGTTCCGTCACATCGACAGAGAGCAGCTCATTTCAAGCCCGACCCGCGTCCAGCGCTACGATTGAGACATTGCCGGATGTAGTCAACAAGGTCTTGGGAGCCGTGCCAGCGGAAACATCAAACATATCCTCCGATCATACCGCACCGAAACCATCCATCAAGACCTCCGTTTCGTTGATCGCCGCATCAGACGAAACAGCGGCAAGCTCATCACGATTTCCTATTAGATGGGCTAGTACTCAGACCTCCGCACCGTTGAATAGATCCTCGGAGCCGGAAGGCGAATTTGCTAGTATCTCCGTTGATGCTGACTCGTCTGCATCAGATAAAGAAGCTTCTATCTGTACAAACATTATCTCTACAGTATCACCGAACATGTCTTCGAATGGAATACCCACTCACAGGAATTCCACTCCGGATGACCCACGGCTCTCCAACGAAGCGACACAACAAACTACTGGTATTGCATCTAGCAGTGTTACATCTATAGACTCTGGTGAACTTTGGCAGAAGCTTTCTCGGACATTATTCCAGGTGGTCGCCGACAACTTGCCTGCTTTGCCCAAGTCCTACAAGCAGACTGAGTCTCCTTCAAATGATAACAAGGATTACAAACCTTCGTCAAAGACGATCTCCACTCGATTACCATCTGAGCAGTTTCTGCCTGAGACTTTGGATGATTTCTCCAGGGTTGGAGAACATCGCCCAATCTTCACAACGTCAATAGAGAGACAGTCCAGCGAACCACTCTACCCTTCGCCGTTACTAGCGGAATCCGAAAGTCTGTCCAGTTTTAAAAGCCGATACGCGTCTGAAGAGAGTCATGTGGCACATCGCGCGGAACGAGAGCCTACTGCCTCATCCAACTATAACGACTTTATCAGCTGGTTAGACATTGTGCTGATACTAGTGCCTTCGATTCTCATCGCCACAAGCATAGGTCTTGCGGGCAACGATCCCTTGGACCAGGATCTCTATGCCACTCTAGTGGCTACACTGTGTAAAGTTGTCGTTGGGTGTCTCCCTTGTCTCGATTTCCGTTGGCCGACCTTGCGGTACTCATTCCTTGCCATGTACAGACACTCTCTGGGGTCCATTTCCTCCTTCATGGTAAATTTTACAGGATTTGTTCGTCAATGGCAGGAAACTCTATCCGGAGTTTTGAGGAAGCAACATGCCGACCACATCATCGCCGACCGGGTATCATATGCTGTTCTCATTGGGTTTGTGTTCATTGCCCTGTTGATCACGATCAACCAGATGATTACTCGACTGCCCCAACATGCAGAACTAACTCAGTGGGAAGCAAATCGTCTTCGTCTGTACAAGGGCTTCGTTGGCACCATTGCCACCTTGATTGTAGTTTGGTTCAGCGATTACGTCCAGGATTTCATCTTGGTCTTTACCACGACAGGTTTTGTATACCTGCTTCATTCGTATTACGGACAGATACTGAACTTTGCCTCTCGCTCGGTTTTCGAAACCTATAGGTTGGTCAAGGAGGCGATGTGGCCATATGTAGCAGTTCACGCCGCTGTCACTGCTACGGTATACCTTGCCAGCCATCCACAGCAAGTCTTCGAGTGCTTCAAAGGTATCAATGGCGGCGTGTCTCTGCCCATCAACCATTGTGCTATCGTGGTGAAATATGGGGCCCTCTTGATCGCTGTGCTTCTCATGCACATACCAATTGTTTCCCGTGGTCTTCGGATTATCCGAGCTCAGATTCAAGAGAGGTACAACCGCATCGCGCACGATCGTCCTGTTGCTCCATGGCAGCCTACACTCGGAGGAGACCGCTTCTGGTTGTCGCTTACTATCATCGTTCTGGGCGCCAAGAAAGTGTCTGAAGTTACGACAGAATGGGCTGTTCCCATTCTCAAGACCGGTGCTATGTTAATCGTCGCCCTGACTTTGGCACGTGTGTTGATGCCATTGTGTCCTATGCTTCTCAGCCGCATTTGGAACACTGTACAACCTTGCAGTGCAGAAGTATCGATGACGACCGCTCACGCAATTAGAGAGACGATGCTGATGACTTCCAAACGTGCTCTAAAATTCCAAAAACGGTCTGTAGAACTACCGACGCGCATGATATCCGACTCCGTTTCAAACACTTGGGCGATAGTCTGGCTGGTCCTTGGAAAACATTCAACGAATTTAAGATTCTTTTACAACGCAAACATTGAACCTGTTGTAGTCTACATTGGTCTGAGCTGCCATAGCAACTGGTGTCAAGGTCGAGTTTGGCGGTGGGTTCCGCGCGCGATAGTCATTGTCTTGGCCACTGTCCTTTGCACCGTGGGAAGGGTCATCGCCGCCAGAGCATACCCCGAACATAAGGTTCGTTCATGCCTAAGCTTCGCTGTTAGCTTCATGGCGGTTTATATCCTTGGCACCTTCGGAGCTCTGGGTTGCACGCAAGACTACATCATCGTTCTGATAACCATTTTTGCCATACTAATACACCTCCCACTTGAGATTCAAGCACCTACCAATGAAACACCTGCTAATGTAGCACTCGTCGGTGAGTCACCTATCGACGAAATACTTGCTGCTGATGAGCTATTTCTCGATGTCATGCCGGCGAATGAAGACCCGGCTGTGGAAGCAGCCCCTAACCTCCCAGCCAGACTGGCGACGAGTGCGCCTGGGTCTGTCGCTCTCCCTTCACCTTCAGGACGGTGGTGGCGGCCAATGATAGATTGGTTCCACATCAACAATGCAGCGCGAGCAGCGAAAGTAAGGGCCATAGAAGAGGCTAAGGGTGTTGTTGCAGAACAAGAGAATGCGAATTTTCGATCACAAGTTGAACTCACAAGGCAAGATCAGCCCTTAATTTCCATTGATATTGAGTATTTACAGAGGCTTAGAAACTTGACATCTGGAACGAATACTACTCAGCCGCCGAGCAACGAGGATGAAACGCAAACAGCCAGAAAAGCGTGGAACACTACTCAGCCGTTTCGACCAATGTACATGTATACTGAGCGGGAGTATCAAACCGCTTTGCGCGGAGAGATCCATGCGACAACAATATCAGAGGCTACCTTGGAGCCGCTTGTTGAGTCTGTTTCGACCCCTCTCGCTGAAGATTCAGCGGTTTCTGTGGCTGCCGATCTGTCGATTCTCGCTTCCGCATCTCCATCTGCGACTACATCCGTACCCGCTCCTCCGTTCACTCCTGCTACGCCTGCCGCACCTGCTCCTCAGACCATAACTGCTCTTTCGACCACGTCTTCTCCAGTCAGAGCCTATTCATCATACCCAGCGACTCCTTCCAGTTCTCTGTTTGCATCTGCTTCAACGGCAATACCTGATGTTACGCAAGGGCGCATCGCCAGTATGAATGAAGTGCCAACAGAGGTTGATAATCAAGATGCATTGCCTTTCCTCATGACAAGCTCGTCAAGCTCCAGACCGCAAGGGGACTATAATCATGAGACGAGTACCTCAATCGCAACCACGACGACACCTGCGATCTTAGACAGAACACCTTCCCACGAGCTTGCCTTCGCGCCCGTGACTGGGTTGGCCGAACCTGGTATGCCGGCCATGGGTCCGGGTAGCGGGCAGGGACCATCAAGTCTTCCAAGCCCTACGGTCTCAGCACCTATCATCCAGAGTGCTGAGCCATCTCCCGGTCCAAGCAAGTCACTGGACGAAGACAAGCTTGCTGGCGAACTGGAGCGTCCTGGTACAGAAGATAGGATTGGTTTTATGGAGAACGCTCAGGCGGACGGTCAACAGCAAGACCAACAACACAACGAAGGAGACAGCGACGATGAAGAAGACTTTAGCTCAAGTGGTGGTGAAACTGGTCTCGATGACAGAACCTTTGAAAAAGAGCCCATGGACGAAAGTGAAGGACTAGATGATGAAGATTTGGCGGCAGCTGAACAGCTGCGTGAAGAGATGGAGAGTGGAGCCAAACGAAATGAAGTCATGATTTCGGTACAAGCGACTTCCGATGAAGCACCTCCGCCTGCCGATTACCGCGATGACAACGAGCAGACGGGAAGTAAGACGGAACAACCGGTTGAGAGTACTTTCATGGAGGTGGATCCGGTTATAATACCCTCAACTGCTGGAGACGGCCTCCATGACGAGCTTGGTGATGTGGTCGACACACCTATGGGTGGTGTTCCGGAAGATGGTGCTGACGTGCTGGAGTTGAAAATCTTGTCAGCAAATTCTGGAGACGACACAACAATGGGAGGTACAAATGATGAAGAGGCTTCTGATCGGGACGGAGGAACCGGTGATGAACATAATGGAGAATATGGAGGAACCAGTGGGAATCGGCCTACTTCTTACAAACCATCTGGAGACGATGAGAAAACTGACACCAATGAACCATCAACTGTAGCCGATCCGTCGATATCGATGGGTGACATGGTAGGAGGTTCTTCGAGTATAGAGGGCTTTCACGGTGAGATCGTTCTCGACACCCAGAACAACAATTATGTTCATACCTCGGACAACAAAATTGAACCGAACAACCCGAAGGATGAAAATGGCGGTGATGATAGCAGCGATCGTTCTGAGCCATATGGATGTCTTCAGGCATCCGCGGTTGGTGGAACTACTTCAGCGGCACCATTCTCAAACGCTGGCGGAGCCATTGCTGCCGCTGCGGATACTACCATGATGGAAAACGACGAAGACAGTGAAATGATTGATGTAGCTATCATATGCGAAGCCGAAATGGACAATGCTGGTTGCAATGCATCTGCATCAGCGCAATTCAACGCTACTGAATTGCTGAAAGCGACTCAAGCCGGTCAGAGTGCAGACAGTCAACCAAATGAGGGTTTTACGACCCCATCTGATATGGAGGGAGGGCAAGATCACATCACGGACGATGATGATGACTGGGACAGCATCTACGCTACTGCCGATGGCCATCTTTCCTCTCCCAACGTGCCGAGATCTTCCACTGTGCAAGACCCTCCTATCGATCCATCGGGTACATACAGCCCATTTTCGAATGTAAGCTCCGGTGACTCAGGCGGAAATGTCTCTCCATCTCATCAGATCGATGACTTCGGAACTGAAGAGCTTGCACAGATTGAGGCCAAGAAGAAAGATAAACAGATGCAAATAGATGCACAAAGAGATCTTGGTTTGCCTTTGGATGGATACGTGCAACTACCAGGTATCAGAAACCAGAGTCATGATGACATTCGTAGAGCCGATGACAAGCACGGAGATCTTACCGCAGGGATCATGGGGATCGATTCCAACAACCATGACACTGACTATCAACAGACGCACGGCATCGACCACGACTTTGAGACCTCACCAGGTACTTCCCCAGTCGATGTTCAGCTCCCGACTGCCGTCATCGATGAAACCAATACCGATACCGATGGTCTTAATTGGACGGACATCAGGCCCAAAACGCGCCTGGTTCAGCTCTGGGAAGACAGACAGATCGTCGACAACCCCGATTACCCACCTCATCGATCCGCGGGCATGAGGTCATTAGAGGCAACATACGGGCAACCATGCCAAATTTTCCGAGAAGTCGACATGGCAGCATATGAGTTTTTCGGCGAGAATCACGAGAACTTCCAATATGCCCAAGAAGGGGTCGATTGGTTCCATCCTGAAGCCGAAGGTGCTGAACCCCGAGACGAACTTGAAATGTTTTGAGAAACGATGCAGACTATGATGACTCCACAAAAAGACAAGATGATGTAAAGGGCTCCCGCCACGTTACAATAATGAACTGCGAAAGTGACAATTGTAGAGATCTTGCGTTCGAAGCTCTTACAATTCTCGCGGCAGAAGAGAAGAAGTAGAGAGACAACTATTCAGGTAGCTGACTCAAAAAAAAAAAGAAAGATTAGCCAGTAAAAGGTAGACGACTCGACGATGTGGCATAATAGAAGCTACCAATCAAACCCTCGGTAGAACGGGCATCTCAGTATCATAGTCATGTCGCGCTTGTCGACCAGAAAGACGTATCACACAGCCCATCAGCGTATTTTCCGGTATCGGCGACCCGGTACGAGATCTGGTACCGAGGTCTGCCTACCCAGTATCTCCATATCTGAAGTGCAAGTCCTTAGATCCATACAGCGGTGGCCCTGAGGATGAGGATAACATATGGGAAGGCGAAGGTAGTCTTCGCCCCCACGAACATCAAATGGCTTCAGCGTCTGCTTACTATTCCTCAACCAAGGAGGTTGTGTGGGTCAAGTTGGATTATTTGGCACAGCCAGTCTACGGCGACCCACTGCTTCCAAATTTTGGACAGCAGTATCATAATGACGACTCAGCGCAAGACGTTTTGTATCCGGGTGGAGCAGAAAAGGCGGTACGAACTAACAGTTAAAAGCGTATTTCGGAACACAAAGTTGTAAGCCCCAGGTTGACTATTACCTTATGCTTGTAGACTTTTATGGATACAGTGGGCTCTATGCCAGTGGTTTGGTATCCTTTGGGATCTTTTGAGATCTGTTGGTCGCAAAAATGTGGTCCGATTGCGGGATTAATTCTACACCTTATTGCTCCTTCGCGTCGAGCTGGCAACATTGGAAGAGAGGCTAGCTCATGTGGTAGTACCGTTGCCTTTGAAGAAAGAGTCATCTCGTCTTGTTGTTGGTACCTGCCATAACCCTTAGCGTACATACTATATAGTCAGCATCCTCCACAGCATCAATCCATCACTCTTATACTCCAACGGCCTTCCACCCATCAACAGCATCATAGCTTTGTACTCACCTTTTCCGTCAAGATCAATCATCACTCCGCAATGAAATCTATACTCTTCCTCCTCAGCTTCTTCGCGCTCTTCGCTACCGTTGCTGTTGGTACAGATTGGAAATACCAAGAGGGTGGTAAACAGCATGACAGAGGGTACAGACAAGGGGATTGGGGCGAATGCGGGCAATGCCATCGACACTACTGGGCGTGCTACACAGTACGTATCTAATCTTATTCTGAAGCCTTTTCGTGTCCGATTTAAGAATGTTAATCATTCCCAACAGGACTGCACCAACGGAAAGGAGTATGGAAATGAGCATGGGAACGACCTCCGTTATCCCAACCAGGAATGCCGCTCACTCTGCCAGCAATGGGCCGAATCGAGCGTACATTGGTGCACGAAACATCAATGCAAGCTTCATACCGGGAAATGGGGGGAGGACGAATGGCATAGTCAGGTACGTGATCACCAGAAAGCAACAGTGTAGAGGGTTTGGCTAACTTCATCCTTCCTCAAGCTGCATGGATAATGAGTACAAAGACCACCGGTAATTCGAAGCCACCGATGCAGAGAGACAGGGATGCACCATGGTTCATAAGGTTAGCCACCTAGATATGCTTGCAGAGAGTTTATGGTTAGGAAGCATGCACCTCTTAATCGATAGAGGCGGGATGTTGTAGCTCTTGCTTTCTCCACGATTCATCTTTGATGGTCTTCTGTATCTAGTGATGCGACTTGAGAATTAAATGGAGGCGCTCTCTCAATTCATAAGAATAATGCGCGCATCTGGTAACGGTCGTTTGCAATGACGAGAAATCTTGGAACCATCGACCACACTAATTTTTCACATACAATTTCTCTTCGAAACCACTCCTCCATCGACAGCTTACAATCGCCACAACTGCTCCAAGAAAATACCACAGTGATCAGAATAGCGATACCATCATATCATTCACTGTCTTTGCATTCAAGGGTAAACCGCCTATGTCAATATGATAAACTTGTTGAAGGTTCTGCTACAGATTCCGTTATTGATCCACAAAGGAACAGGTACTAGTGGACGTTTTGGAAATCTGGATAAGTGATCTTGCAAGCTCACAACTTCGGGGCTTGTTAGTCAAGGTTTTGGACATCGATTCAAATGCTCATGTATGCTTTCCAAATGCGGACAACGAGCCTATTATGATATATATGACTTAAGCGACCTTACGTGCCTCACGCTATCGAGAAGCAGAAGATAGCTATGACGTGTCTGATACGCAGACGATAACATGTTGTTGATGTAAAACCCCACAATTATCTATTGATTTGTAAGAATTCCACGAACATTCGTATGATGGTACTGCTCTACAACCGATCTTCAGTATTGTGATACAAACCAATTAGCATTGAAATCGGCTTTATGTTATTTGGCGCAAGGGAGCACAGGTATCATCTCAACATCTCCAAGACCCATTACTGCTTAGATATACGTCGACATTACTAGTCTTATGTCTCTATCTGGCCACCTGTAGTTCAATCGGTTGGCGCCACTGTCCTTACGAATTCTTGCCCACTATGGAAATCAGTCCACCCACAAAGCTAGCGGCAGCTTGTGTTAAAATCTGCACACCCCCTTTCACCTCCCGCTCTTGTTCATCGACTCCAAACCATTTCCCCATCTCTGCCTATCCTCAGAGCCGACATAGATCACCAAAAGCTCATTCTCGTTATCCAAATAACACCCCAGAGCCGACATGAAGCTCATCACCGTTTTCGTGGCGGCGCTTGGCTCCACAGTCCTTGCTAACAAAGATCCTGTCGACAAGGCGCCCTTTTGGCATAGTTGCAATCAATGCGGATACGAGTGGAACGATTGCCTACTCGTAAGCACCCCTCACACATACTCATCCACTATCTCTATTAGCTCACTAACTATCATCAAGCGACACAACCCTACTCGTTCGCCATACCTCGATCCATTTTGGGATGCCGCTTGTGCGGAAGAGCTCTGCAACAACGACGACGACCATCTAGGCTGGTGGTGCTGGCACAATTGCTATTTCCATCAGGGTTCCTGTTTTGCGTATGGCCGAATGACTGATAAAGGGGGAAAATATGAGGATAAGGGATTCTCTCGTGGCGAATGAAAGCTAGACTTCTCACGCTGTAGGTGCATAGGTAGATGTTATAGAAGAGTGCCAATCACAAATAGCTGACCAAACATATCTACCAAAGAGACGGCCTTGAGTACAGTGACCGCAAACAACACGAATGAACCCCAATCTCTAGGCAACCACCGGTCACTTACCGCTCACTCACCTTGCTGTGCTTTTCTCAATGAAGCCTCATCGACAACGCTGCGAGCCCGCTTGTTTGCCTAGCGCGTCGCTTCTCTCTCTCATTTATCCACCAAGTATATATTTCTGCGATCTTGCCTTCCATTTCTCTCCTCCAACTCCACCATCAACTCGATATTCAGGACACAGTTTACACTTTATCACAACCAATTCAACATCAACCACAACAACAAGCTTGCCAACATGAAGCTCACTGTCCTCGTTCTAGCAGCTGTCGCGACTGTCGCCTTTGCCGGTGGTGGTAGTAAAAAGAACGATGACGCTCTCTGCGCCGCGTGCAGGGACGTGTACATGCCTTGCAAGCATGTAAGTAAACGCTTTCACATGAAAGCACTAGTGCACATTCTACACAGAAAGCTAATTGTATAATAGAAATGCGATACATCTGATCGTACCGTGCTTTGCGAAGCCTATTGCGAACTTGAGGTGTGCGATCTCAAGCCTAAGGGTTTTGATAAGCCGTGCCACCCAACCTGCATCTATCCCAAATGCAAGAACAGGCCGTAAGTTCTTCTGGACAACCATGACGTACTCGCTGACTCAAAGGTTAGCGGCCATGACGAGAACTAGAGTAATCAGCGATCAACATTCACCTCGAAACGATAACGAGTGGTGCGCACGGAACTGGCCAACACTGAGGGTGGGATGAAGAACGATGGATGCTGAATATGTTCTGCAATTGCGGGTATGGGGACAAGAGCAAGGACTGGACTAAGGAACACGATACTTGGTCTTCCGTGATGGTAGATCAGATGATATATCAATCATGACTTTCTAATGACTGAGCTCTTGACTTTGAAAGTGACTGAGTCAACCAATCGAGAAAGATGCCTCTTGCTGATTTGGCAAGGCCACTTTGATTTTTGTCTACCGCGAGCTTCTACTCAGCTGGTAACTCACTAATTGCTTTGCATTTATCGTCAGAATGTCCTCTGGTATTGGATTCTTGACATTGGAGGACGAAGCTTGAGCGCTACTATCACATTTCCCTTACCGCGAAAGTGTACCGTTGAACCTCTACTGAGTACATAGCATCTATCGATTATAAGTGCTTATGGAATTCTCATTATATGCACTACTTGCTACACCGTCGCCGCTTGCAGATTCGATCACTGGTACCGCGGTGATTAGAGATCAGGGTTGAGTACGCAGAATTCAAGAGCAGCCACATATCCTCTTTCTCCTCTGTGTCATTGCTCAAATTCCTTGTCTGGATTGCAATTGCCAAACCCCATTCGCATTGATAGCATATGGTTTAGCTCTAGGTAGCTCATTGCAGCTGATCATCACCGCCTTCGTCCTTTCTGCTAGCAATGGGTCGGGATATCCGAACATTGGATCCGTGATCAGCTTGTTTGGAGCAATCCTCACGGCTATCCTTGCCCGATACTGTTTAAACCATTTGAGGCAGCCGCGCTTCGACCGCTAGCAACCGTTTCACTATGTACGTTCAGATGCCATGTCAACAAGGCAACTTCCAGTGATTGCGAATTCCAGATCTCCCTCTAGACCAGTGTTTGCAGATCAACGCACAGATCACTACCTTTCCACTGTTGTGTAACAATTCTTTCACCTGCTCGATGCGTAACCGCAGCCTCACCTCTTCTAGCATACATCTACCACTACTCTATCCTCTCTGTTTTCTTCTAATCCATGCCAGTCTATTTCTTCAATTCCGTCGAACAGCCACCATATCCCACATAACCACATAACTTCATCAAATTCAACACCATGAAATTCGCAACCACCATCCTCATTCTCGCCCTCGCTGCCCTCACCATGGCCACTCCACTCGCCAACCCTAGCCCAGTTGCCGATCCCGTCGCTGCACCCCAAGTCACCCCTCCACCAGTCGACAAGCCCAACTGCCGCGACTGCGACAACAACTTTACCAAGTGTCGTCTTGTAAGCTCATTCTTTCCATGTCCCCCTCCTTGCTCCACTTTGTACTTCTTACTAATAGAACCTTGCCAAATAGTCCAAGTCATGCTGGTTCAACCCTCAGGCTTGTGACCAGACTTGCCGTGCGGATACCTGCCGCCTGTTTGACGGATTCTGCAAGGCCAACTGCGGCTACACAAACTGCTAGACGGCTGGTCAAACCGCCAGTACCGCGTGACTATAAGCTGCTAAAGGCCGGAGGTTCAACAGCTGGTACGATTGCCATCTAGGAAAGATAACGTACTTGACAACAGTCTTTAGTGGGGGGTTTTGGTTAGAGGTAAATAGTGGTGATTCTGTCCTCGGGGAATTAAACATGGGATTGGCGTTCATGGAAGACTTGAATGGATACGCAAAAGGTATTGGCATTTCCTGACAGGTCCTCGCTACGGCGGGTAGACCTATGTCGAGGCATTAGACCAATTCTCACAAACAAACAAGAGATATCCAACAATGCTTCCGTCCACGAAACTGACACGTGCTGCTTCCTTTTCCACCATGCTTCATGACATGACCATTCTTGTCATGACCGTATCGTGTTCAATAATTCAAGCTCCCCGCCTTCCAGACCCCGACCCACCATATCGACGACTCGCTCATGGCAACACAACGTCTTGAACAATGAACCTGAGCAAGGCGCCTTTCCCACGCCGGTCTCCCTAAATTAGCCACCATTAGCCTCCAAGGAACAAGACCGAATACGAAGATTGACCTGCAGTGCCAAGAAAAAAGGGCTCTTCGCGGCCCGCAGATGATCACCCGCTAAGCCAGATTACCGCATGGGTAAGGTCTCTGTCCGCCTTGGTCCATCTTGAAAGTTGTATGCGCAGTCTTGGCTGCTAATATGTACTGGTACCTTGCCGGTGTGGTTGCGCCCATTTTGCTTGGACAATGCTTCATCCAAGACTACCAAGGTAACCTAGTTATACGCCTACAATTATGAGGGTGTGCTAAGTCTGGCGGTGATGTCGATAGCGACGTCAGTAGATCAGTATTCTAATTAGTATTTAAGCTGCTCATGTCTTGAGTAAATGTTCCTGGTATTCTGTTTGACTCTACTATCACCATCATGAAGCTCACTCTTGTTACCCTCTCCGCTGTTGTGGCGTCCACCACCACCGCATCTCCTCTTGTCCTCGAACCCCGCCAACAATGCAGTACATCGTGGAGCTACCCCTACACTGGTCGCGCACCTCCTGGCAATTACAAAGCGTTCAACTTGGCTAGCTGCACCGCACAACTCAGCTTCAACAAAGACCAATACGTCGGCGTACAATGGGCCTTTGAAGCCACCTACGCCGACGGCAGCCGTGCAGAACTCAAGCCCTTCCGCGATTTCAACAGCTTCGGTGTCAGCGACACCTTCTACCCCTACCTAGGAAACAACTTCCTCACCCGGTACCCAGGGAACTCAGCGTTCACGGCTGTGCATGAGTTTAGCAGTGTGTGCAAGAACGGACAGGCGCCAGTCTCATGGCGATTCTACACAACATCAGGGACAGCGAATGGCTGCTACACAACGGGTCAGATCCGTGCTGTTGGCGGGGTCTCGCGTCCGGCCAAGGTCACAGGCGTTTCTTTGCGGAGGAGCAACGATGCTGGGGATTTCGAGGTTACCTGGTCGCCAGTGTCCAGAGCAGTTGCGTATTCAGTGATTGTGCAGTACCCAACTGGCACAGATGAAGTTGGGAATCCATATACGAATGTGAGGGGTGCACGTGTGCAGGTAGGTTATTGTTGATATACGTCAGTGAGCGCCTGCTAACGGCCATTATAGGGAAGTTCGACGAGCGTCGCGACGACTACGCGCAGGCAGGATGTACAGAGAAAGGTAATTGTGCACGCTGTGGACTCGCAGAGTGTGTGGTCATTTACGAGCGATGTTCAAGCAGTTGCTGCTAGCTGGTAGACGTTATGTAGGATGTGAGATGGATGCGGAAGAAATTGCCCGATCGGTCGAGCGGATCCCTGCTTGGGAAGAGTGAATATCCACACGCTTGATAGCGCGCATGGTTTTTTTCTCCCTCGAGCGCGAAGACAGTGTAAGCTGTGGTGCAAGATATCAGCAAAGGAACTAAAGTACGGTGAAGAGGAACAAATGTGTCTTGACACGTGAAACACGTCGTCGCACTGCCACATGGCAAGCGCGCAGCTCGCCCCGGAACAGCCGAGGCCCAAGCGCCAGGGTCGCGCGACAACGAATGCCATCTCCACACGGCTCCGCATTGTCATCGCATCATGCACGCCTGCTGCCCTCGATTGCCTCGCTGTATATTACCTCTACCTCTGCTTTTGCCTGGCTGAATACTTTGTGCCTGTTGTCGAGGCACTCTCACGCGCTACCTTGATCAATGCGCCGCTCCCCTCTTATGGGGGCGCGACATCCACGCTCATAATGGCAGACTCGGTTGGTACGTCCAAGGATACATGCGCCGCCAAAGAGATCCTGCTGATGTCGACTCTCTAGATCGAGTTTTTAGCCATGCGCTCAACACAGTGAATAAGATACGGACGGGGTCGCAGAAACCGCCGTCTGCGACCAGGTTACGCCTGTATGGATTGTACAAGCAAGCCATGGGTACGTTGGATACGGGAAATCATGTTGACATGACGGTGCTGACGCAGCACAGAGGGCGACGTCGACGGCATAATGGAGTGTCCGAGAGGGAGCGACGAGCAGTCGCAACGAGCGCGGGAGAAATGGTACGCCACGCCCCCGTCACATACAGCGCAGACAGGTGAATAACAGCCACAGGGACGCTTGGAAACAGCAAAACGGCCTCTCCCGCACTGAAGCCAAACGCCGCTACATCACCACCCTCATCGACACCATGCACAAATACGCCTCGCCCTCGCCCGACTCCCGGGAACTAGTTGCCGAGCTCGAGTTTGTCTGGGACCAAGTCAAGTCAAATGTGCCTTCCTCGTCGTCCTCGTCGCCCCTGCGCACCGCCGACCACATAACCCCCGGATACACTTCACAGCACGAGCTAGGCCAAAGCGGACGGGCAGCCATGAACACCAGCGCCGACATGGACCAAGACACGCCCGGCCAGATGCGAGGGCAGGAACAGCGCGACATACCCCTGCGCGTCAAATCGCCCATGTCGCAATCCGAAGAAGAGCTCGAGGAAGAAGAAGCAGAAATCGACCGCGGCGAAGTCTTTGTCGATGCCCCAGACAGCCAATACAATCCTACATCCTACCCGGACGATGACCAGCCCGAACTAGAAGACGCAGGTGTCCAGACCGATCTCCAGCAATTGATACGAGCGGAACCTATACCCATACAAACACCCACGCCCGCTCCGCGAAATAGAGGCATAGGCGTGCTGGGGAAACCAATACAGATGAACATACCGGGTCTCGGCGGAACACCAGCCGCCGGAAACGCCTCAGCAGCAGCAGCATCAAAAGAATCTCCCAAGGAATCCGCCGCAGACCAGAAATGGAGAAAGCGTGTGGAGCAGTCGTTGATGAAAATGACAGCCGAAGTCGCAGCACTACGTGAACAGCTTGAGGCGAGGAGGTTGTTCGCACATTCGGCGCATTATCGCTTGTTTAGAGGGATATGGAGGTGGGCGTGGGCTTGCCTCAAGCACGTGGCTGTTGATGTGTTTATATTGGGTATTGTGCTGCTTTGGATGCGGAGGAAGAAGGATAGGAGGTTGGAAGGCGCGATAAGGGTTCTGCTGGGAGATGCGGTGGCGCAGATGCAAAGGGGTGGGGGAGCCGTGTTTGGCAGGGTTAGGATACCGCTGCTACGAGGGGGCGGCAAGAAGCCAGTCACGGCGTCGTGAATTCAAGGGGCACGATGGTACCGCGAGCCATACCTTACGATATACGTCAGTCTAATGCTAGCATGTACATAATAGCGACATGGCGCTTCAAAGTCTTTGTCTCTCTCTTCTCTTGCGCACCGAACCCCTCAGTCCATGTTCCCTACGTCTCTCATCCTTAGCACCTTCTCTTTTCGACCTTCCCATTCCCCAAGCTTCTCTGGGAAACACTGCCTAACCAACACTTCCCCATATCCCTCCAACCTGCTTTCCACCTCGCTCAATGCCCCGACAACACCACTCTTGCCTACAATCACGTTCACAGACTCCAACTCCATACCTCCTACCGTTGGCTCCCTCGGTAGAGCAGCGATAGCCACGTTACTAATGGTACCACAGAACATGATTGCTAGCATGCCTACCGCTGCGGCATCCGAGAGTTGCGTGCAAAGAAGTGCTTGACTGAGGAAACCACCTGATATGAGGATAAATGTTGGGATTGATACGGCGTGTATCTGATGGTCGTATGGCACTCGCAGCGCGGCTGTGTCTCGGACATTGGATATATCAGGCTTTGCAGGTTGAATGATGAAGATATGATGTGGCGGCGTCTGTTTATCGCGCATCAAGGCGTATGCGCCACCTTGGCAACCACCTGCGTGTGAAGAGGGTTTCTGTGCAGACCAGATAGGGAGGCTTGCGGTCGCTTCTATCAGTAGAATCGACGTGCTGAGAAGCAGGGGGACCGAGAGGTCACGGTAACAGTACCAGAACAACCCTGCGAGGCAGAATTGAAAGACAACAGTAGCTATATTGTGGTTTTTCCTCAGGGTCCACAAGGATCGGTGTGTTGTTGATGGCTGACTGACAGACTCGAGGATCTCGACAATGGTATCCTTGTTGTCATCCGTCTCGCGCACACAACTCGACTCCAGGTCCCTCAGCAATCGTCCGGGTCTCAATCTGCTGTTTCTCCTCCCCAAGCTCCCCTTCTTCACATCCATACTTATAACCTTGACTTCCTCTTCCTCTTCCTCTTCCTCTCTAGGCAACAAACTCTCACTACCACGCATCACGGGTACCAATAACCCTACGGTAAAAGCTAACCACCCAAACCCAAAACACGGGGACTCGTCCGGGACAGATGCAGTCGTCGCGGCGAAGGCTTCTTGTATGATATCGGGAGCGAGGAGCATGAGAATAGCAACGAGTGGGCAGATACTTCCTGAGTCGTTGGAGCGGTGGCGAAACCCCGGGCCGGAAGGAGAGAGGTAATAGTTTGTTAGGCAGAGCGACATGTATGCGGCGATGAGGGGGATTGTGGTACTGAATTGGGTGCGAAAGGTGCTACTTTTGAGCATAGGTGTGTTGGTGCGAGAAGAGGGCGCAGAGTACTTGCTGTCGGTCATGGTGGCGCCTTTTTCGATGTCGAGTTGTGGCATTATTGTATCGGGCAGTTCAGGAAGCTTCATTTCTAGCTTGTTGTAGAGAGTAGAGACCCAGTGTTATCGGTGCGATCACTTCTGTTGCCGACAGTGCTGGTCGTCACCTGTCGTTTGATTTCACAAGCTCACTCGCGTATGTGTGAATCTTCAGTTTGTGGATCTTCAGTTTGTTGCATTGCACCTTCACAAAGCATTGTAGCTTCGATGGTGAAGGACGTCGCTCCAAAGGAAGGTGCGATGCTGTAAGTAAAAGGAATGTCACGTCCGTGCATTTATGAGTGTGCGATTGGACCACTTCGTCGTAACGTAACGGATGTCACCTCGCTGGATGCGGAAGATGTTCTCGTCGCACTATCACAAGCCTGTACTCACAGTATGACCCTTCGCCGCAGCCCTGCGTACCGATTTTACTGCCTTCTAGCTGTGCACCTTCAACCTCGACCTACAGAGTACCCCTCTGACTCACTTGATCCATCTCCCCATCCGAACTTCGCAATACCACCGTTCCAACAAGACCATAGATCGACCCCGCCATCCACATCACCATATCGATCAATGAACTTGAGCGACCGTATCGGATCATATGTCGTCATCTCGCCATGCTTGGTGGCATGATCAGTCTTGATCTCCTTGACCGTCTTGCCCGTCCAAATATTACTAATTCGAATCGCAGTGCCCGTCGATTTATCTTGAGCGGCCGCTAGAAGACCCAGTCTGGGGTGTACGTCGATATCCAGATCCAGCTCGTCCCGGTTCGCATGTTCAAAGGTCAAAACAGGCTGCGACCAATTCTTAAAAGCCTTGTGGTTGAGTTTACGACGCTTGTGTCCATCGCGGTGGGTAGGATACAAAGATCTGAAGTATTCCTCGTTGTAGTGATGGTTTTCGTAGTTGAATGTCTTTCGTGATGCATTACGTGATAAGCGGGGTGCGCGGATGTCGTATAGGAAAAGCGTGTCTTGGAGCCCCGAGCAAATCAGTCTGGTCTCATCGTCGGCACGCTTGAGCTTTGAAACGGGGGATGGATGGGTGAGAACATGACTTGAACCACCTGATCTTGTGTCATATAGTCGGATATTTCCGTTACGGCAACCGAGAGCGACGGTGGTGTACGATATCCATTCCAATGCTAGCACGTCTGAGTCGAGTGATTTCACGGCAGTTTGCGAGTCCCATGCTCCTGCTTGTGAGCGGGCGAAGAGGAGCATTGAACTCGAAGCTGCGACTGCAAGATGCTCGGACCAGGTCGCTGCGACGGTGTTTGCGACACCTGGTGAAGGCGTGAAGGTTGACGGTCTGGCTGCAGCACCCCATATCGCCGAACAGTCCTTTGGTGTGAACTTCTGACCCACGTACTGTAACCATGAAGTCAGCATGGGAACCAAACTACGGCTTTTGAAAAGCTATATGCAAAACCAAAACCTACCCTGAATGGTACCTTACTGAAGAGGCCAGACTTCTATAGGCTAGAAGTCCCAGAGAAACCCTCCAGTGTAGGCCTTAGTATTACGTGTAGACGGGTAAGTGACTTACTGGATCATCCAGCCCTGGATCGCTGAGCCACAATTCTGGAGGTCGATCTGAGCCATATGTAGTTACTGCAAGGGCTCCAGTCTGCGGAAGGAAGGATAATGAAGAGACTGTAGATGTTGTTCTCGTTACCTCTGCCCAAGCATCGTGCGTGTAGGTTGCTTTTGGTGACGGCGTACGGAGATTTCCCCGAACATGATGGAAGTCAGCTTGCTGCATGCACACGCTGTTCGATTTCTGAACTGCATATATTGTGTGTTCGTTCGGATTCCTATCAAAGAATCGGATATTGTAAGGATGGCGGCTACCCAGCACCTCTTGTGCATCACTCTCGATGCCAGCGGCGCATGCATCAGGCCAAAAGCCATAGAGATAGCGCGAAGTTCGCCTAAGACCTACTTCTCTATCCAGATTGGTCTGCGCGAAAGTGTTCGGATTGCGCCTGACAACGCGCTCCTTCCGGATCTTATTCGAGCGCGCAATGGCAACATTCTGGATGCGTTCTTTGCGCTCAGTTTTTCTGATATTTTCCGAAGAGTATTTGAGATTCGAGCCTTGTGCTGCAGTCTGGTTCTGGATCCTGAAGTATTTCTTCTTCTCTGCGTCCCAGAAATAGCCTGGTATTGGTTGGCCGTTCATATTGGAGGTGCAAGGTGAAAAGGTAGAAATGTCGACGCGTCTGTGTTAGCGCAGAAGACGCCAGGGCGAGTCAGGTACCATGATTCCGCGGTTGGCTATCGATAAGCAACTTCTCCGAGGCATGACGCCACCGCCGCTCATGGTATTCGCATCACTATGATCTGCACCCTCCTGCGCCCACAATTGCCGCCATCTCCCCCTCGTTGCCCCCCTCCCCTTCTACATCATACTATACCTGTCAGCAGCTCATGCTTCGAATTTCACCTGCGCTGCAGCCTACTCGCAAAGCATTATCAGCGACGAGATACATTTGCAAGAACCCCTTCCACACTTTTATGCGCCTCAATCAAGTCATGGCGCACCTCGACAACTCGCAGACGGCGAACAACTCGTCCAACAAGCTACAGACGCTACAGTCCCTTCCCAAGTCGAATGTCTTCACGTCAAACCTCCCCGCCGACGACGCGTTTCCCAGGCCGAAAGACTCGCACGATGCGCCACGGCAGATGCTTGGACCGCGCATGGTCAAGGGAGCGCTGTACACATATGTTCGACCCGATTCACAAGGTGAGCCCGAATTACTAGCTGTCAGCCAGCGGGCGCTACAAGACATTGGCCTAAAGCCAGAGGAGGCCGAGACTGAAGAGTTCAAGGAAGTCGTTGCCGGCAAGAAGATCCTGACATGGAACGAATTCAATCCAGAGGCAGGCATATATCCCTGGGCGCAATGCTACGGAGGCTACCAGTTCGGGCAATGGGCAGGCCAACTCGGTGATGGTCGTGCCATCTCCCTATTCGAGTCTACAAACCCAGCAACAGGCACACGCTACGAGATCCAACTGAAGGGTGCTGGACGAACACCATACTCGCGTTTCGCCGATGGTCGAGCAGTTCTTCGCTCTTCCATCCGTGAATTTGTTGTCTCAGAATACCTCAATGCCATCAACATCCCAAGTACGCGAGCGCTGGCGCTCACCTTGAACAACGGGAGCAAAGTAATGCGCGAACGAACCGAGCCAGGTGCCATCGTCACCCGTTTCGCACAAAGCTGGATCCGCTTCGGCACATTTGACCTCCAGCGCATTCGCGGCGACCGAAAAACCCTCCGCATACTCGCAGACTACACAGCGGAGCACGTCTACGGCGGCTGGGATAAACTCCCGTCCAAGCTTCCCGCCGGCGACGCAAAGGACGTCCACAACCAGACATCCTCAGGTATATCAAGAGACACCGTCGAGGGCGAAGGCGCCGGAGAGGAGAACCGCTACGTCCGTCTCTACCGCGCAATCATCCGCCGCAACGCCGAGACAGTCGCAAAATGGCAAGCCTACGGCTTCATGAACGGTGTGCTAAACACAGATAATACTTCCATCCTCGGGCTAAGCATCGATTTCGGCCCCTTTGCCTTTTTGGATACCTTCGATCCGACGTACACACCCAACCACGACGATCACATGCTGAGGTATAGTTACCGCAATCAACCCACAATCATCTGGTGGAACCTTGTCCGTCTTGGCGAGGCATTGGGCGAGCTCATGGGCGCGGGTAGCAAAGTAGACGAGGCGCAGTTTGTGGAGAAGGGTGTTACGGAAGAAGAAGCAGATGGCATCGTCAAGTGTGCGGAGAGTGCTATCGATCGCGCAGGCGAAGAGTACAAGGCCGTTTTCCTGGCAGAGTACAGACGGCTCATGACGCTCCGTCTTGGACTCAAGACACAAAAGGACAGCGACTTTGAGGAACTGATGTCTGAGCTGCTGGACTCGCTCGAGATGTTTGAGTTGGACTTTCATCATGCCTTCCGGAGGTTGGGTGCTGTTGGGTTGTCAGACGTTGAGACTGAAGATCAGAGGAAAGATGTTGCGGGACGGTTCTTCAAGAAAGACAGTGCACCGAGGCAGGAAAGCGATGGACGTGAGCGTCTCGGCAAGTGGCTGGAGAAGTGGGCTGCGAGGGTCAAGGAAGATTGGGGTGAGGGTAAGGATGATGAGAGGAAGGCAGCTATGGATGCGGTCAATCCCAACGTAAGTTTTAACTCTACTCGCTCACACAGACATGCGATGCTGACACTAAACACAGTTCATCCCCCGTTCCTGGATCCTAGACGAACTTATCGAGCGTGTAGAGAAACAGGGTGAACGCGAAATCCTACCTCAAATCATGAAGCTCGCCTTGAACCCGTTCCAAGAAACCTGGGAGTGGAATGCAGATGAGGAAGAGAGGTTCTGTGGCGACGTGCCGAAGCACAAGGGTATGATGCAGTGTAGCTGTAGTTCTTAAAAGATCTCTTACATACACCTGGTAAGGTGATGTAGAGGGCATTGGATAATTCAAGTCCTAATCTACACCACCAACGAGATATTCGCCTACTTCCAAGTTGACGCTCCGACCTAGCGCGCGTGCATACTCCCATCCAAAGTTCACGCGCCATCTACCCCCTCCTTCTAGTGCATCGTTGCTTCCTGCTCCAGCTCTGACCAGTAGTCTCATACTGGTTAATGTCGCAATCTGTGTGTATAGATCCGCCACCTGTGGTACCGTTCCGTCAAGCAATGCTCGGAAGATTGCAAGCAGCCTGTCCAGGGTGAACGGACTTGGCGTCAACAAATGTCGACTAATCTTTCGATGCTTCGCTCCCGTCCGCTTCCCAGTAACGCTGAAAGAAGCAGCGCTCGGTGCGCGTCGCTTGTTCTTCCGCTTATCGGTATGCTTCATAAAGTATGTAACATCGGTGCGCGAGGGATTGTAGGAGGCTAGGTACGCAGCGATGAGGATGTGTGTCGTAAAGTATGGAAGGCTGTGGGCCGTCATGTTTGCTAGCTTCTTCTTGCTGGGCGTCGCTGGTAAGACGCCTGCAGCTGCCGCGTCCTTTGTGGGTTCGGCGGTATCCGCAATGATTCGATCTAGCACTGAGTCTTCGAGCTGGAAGAGATGCCGTCTGTTTACCATCAAGCGCGAGAAATCCCTCGTACCGAATTGCCCCGACACCACTGGCTCAACGAACGGACGCCAAAGTCGCATTGCGCAGCTCTTGAAGCTGATGAGGTCTCGCCCGGTGTGCTTTGCAAGGGAGTCGTAGACTGCTTGTAGGAAACGACCCCATAGCCAGGCGTCATCTTCGGCGGCAAGATCGGGTGTGTAGTCCGGGAATTGTTCTAGCAAGGGAGGCTCCAGGAAGATTTTGGGCGAGTTGGCGCCGAGGATTGTGAGGAGTTCGTTGCGTGCGTAGGTTGGGAAGTGTAAAAAGGTTGCCGATGACGAGTGGAGTACAGAGGGGGTGAGCGGCAGGGTTGTTGCGAGTATAAGGGAAAGGTTTGGTATCTGGTCATAAAGTCAGTGTCATGCGTTCCATCTCAGACGAGTTGAGCCATACCATCTCTCCCAGTCTTGCTAGCGCAGCAATCAATGTCCCACCCCCTTCTCTTAACTTGTCCACCGCATCAAGCACCAGCACGAACTTGTCCCTACCCTCCAACAGCTTCCCCATGTTGACACATAAGGCGCTTAGGTTCTCCGTACGCGCGTAAGGTCGCCTATCGATCTTCTCGTCGTTGAACACATCGAGCGCATCTAGACTGGCTGCGACAATGCGCTCTAGGAGATGCCGTGTGGTTATGCATTCGCGCACGTTGATGATCGTGTGTTGTATGCGAGAGATATGGAAGAAGGAGCGCAATATCGACGATTTGCCAGTCGCTGTAAGACCGTGGATGTTCAGAAAGGGTGGTGATGGAAGATGCGCCTAGGTTGCTGTTAGGGGTATGTTTATGAAGCCTAGAGAGGTTACATACGCTATAGAGGGCAGCCAGATGCCGTATTTGTTGATCGCGACATGTGAATTCAGCCGTCAATTGCGCGACGATCTCGTCCGGTAACATTGTCGTGGTGTTGTTTTGCATGTTTGCAACACCATCCATGTTTCGAGGGTTGAGGATGTCGCGCTAGCTTGGCGCCGAACGCGGGTGCACGTGCACCGCGGTCCATGTCCATGACTTCCATCTTTAGATCTCTGCTTGTTGAAAACTCACGACACATTGCATCTGAAGTAACGCTGTGAATTTGAACTGCACAGTAATCTCGATGAGTTCCACATGTTCGAATCAACGCCTGATCACTGCAGGCAATCGACGCCACCCGCTGACCGTCACGTGCGAGAGCAAATGCGCTCGCTGACTGCAGCTGCAGAATTGCACAGCCTCGTCATCTTTGGCTGATCAGATTCTTGATGAATTCCTCATCCCATGTCGTTCCACTCTATATATTACACCGATATCCGATGCACGTATGGAGACAACCGCCAGTATCGTAGCAGTGACCCAGCTATGCGAAAAAGTGATCAAATACATCATTGCTGTATCCGGAGCTAGGGACGAGAAAACACGCCTCCGATCGAAGATCCGAAGCTGCAGTAGCTTGTTACTGCAGCTTCAAGATGAAGCAGCTGACTCCGAAGAAATCAAAGAATGGTCTAAAACCTTAGACCTACTCTCTGATCCGATAGCGCGTCTTCACGAAGCATTGAGTCTGACAGCCGTTACTTTGTCACCTCGAGATGGGGCCCTCGAAAAATTGCAATGGCCGTTCAAAGAGAAAGATGTAAGAAGGTTGGTGGAGGCAATCGACAGTGAAATGGCAATGCTTGCCTTGGCTCTTGATGGGAACACAACGAAATTACTCATCGGAATCGACGCTCGCTCTAAGCGCAACGAAGAGGATCTCAGAGCTTTGAAGGACATCTTCAAATTGGATATGGGAACAACAGTGTCGAGATTGCAAAATCTTAGTGGGGAGCTGCAAACAATCCAGGTTACCCAGAACGATGTTCGGGGAGAAGTCGACAAATTACATGAGCGTCATCATACGAAGGAAGCCATGAAAACACGCCAGAACATTCTGAATTGGCTAACACCTATTGACCATGCCTCACAACAGCGAGATGCTATTAGTCGGTGGCAGGCTGGTACCGGCGGATGGCTCTTGCACTCGCAAGCCTATCAAGACTGGCTCAGCACCAGGAATCGTACCTTGTTCTGCCCGGGTATCCCAGGTGCAGGCAAGACAGTGTCGGCCTCCATTATCAATGCCGATTTGTGGGAGCGACATTGCAGCGATGCCACAATCGGCTTGGCTTATCTGTTTTGCAGCTACAGACGTCAAGGTGAACAGACATTGAACGACCTACTCTCGAGTATATTGCGACAACTCGTGGAACCACAAGCGTCGTTGCCAAGACATGTGGTGGACTTTTACGAGAGTCAAATGGGATCTTCAGATCGGATAGACGCTATTACCAGAACTCTACAACTGGTAACATCAATTTACTCTAGGGTCTTCATCGTTATAGATGCTCTTGACGAATGTTCTGCGTCGCAAGGGTGTCGTACAGCGTTGCTATCGAAAATGCAAGACCTTCAAATGACATCTGGTATCAACCTCTTGGTCACTTCCCGCTTTATACCTGAGATCACAGAGGGATTCAAGACGGCATCCATGTTAGAGATCCAAGCACACAGCAGTGATGTGAAGAAGTATGTCTCCGAGAACATATCTCGCCTGCCAGGATTTGTGCGCAATAACACGGAGTTGCAAGAAAGCATTATCGTGAAAATCGTAGAAGCAGTTGGTAGGATGTATGTCTCTCCCCTCCAGATCCACACATTCTATTAAACAAGCCCCAGGTTCCTCTTGGCCAAGCTACATCTTGATTCTTTAGTCGGCAAGAGATCACCGAAGTCAATCCGTGTTGCCTTGGACAAACTCGCCACTGGTTCTCGGGCTTACGATTCTGCGTATGATTCCGCAATGGAAAGGATCGAATGCCAAGTAGCCGAACAGACGGAGCTCGCGAAGCAAGCTTTAGCTTTCCTCATTTGTGCCAAGAGGCCTCTCTCGACCCTGGAACTACAAGAGGCGATGGGCGTTGAGGTTGATGAGCTTGAATTGGATCCTGAAAACTACCCTACAATTGAGGATATCATGGCCTCATGTCTCGGTCTAGTGACCATAGATGAGGATAGTAAGATTACCCAGCTTGTTCACAACACGACGCAGGAGTATCTCAAGCGTACACTAGACCGATGGTTCCCGAACGCGGAAGCCATGATAGCGGACGTTTGTATATCATACCTATGTTTGAACCGTCACGCTGATCCGGCGAATCTGGATCCCACGGAAGATAGTACTTGGTATGCCTACGCTGCGAAAAATTGGGCCCACCATGCTCGCCGAGCTCCATCAAGTTCGAAGCGAGTGGTCGACTTCCTGACACAAGAAATCCCTCTCTCAAAGAGTTTTCTTTATATAGGATATCGTTGGCAAAGTGCCACGTTCGTATACAAAAGACTTAGCAACAAAGAGGCATGGACCACCGGACTTCACTTGGCGGCTGAATTCGGTCTCGAGGACGTTACTGTTGCATTGCTTCTGCGAGGATCTGATACAAGCCGAAGAGATGTGTATGGCCGAACACCACTTATCGTCGCCGCAGAGATGGGGAGTAAAGCTACCTTTGAGCAGCTGCTCAAACATGGATCTTCTATAGAAACGCGCATCGACGAACGTCACGATGATCTCGCAGGGTACACCGCCCTCCACGTCGCCTCAAGAAATGGACACACCCCCATTGTTAGACTCCTCCTAACAGCTGGAGCAGATGTAAACTCACAGGGCTGTGACGATGACACGCCCATAAGTAGCGCTGTCAGTAGGGGGCAGACTGAGGTTGTTCGGGTCCTAATCGACGCGAAAGCTGATATGACGCTCCATACCACAGGGAAAATGGAGTGGGATTCAATGACACTGCTAGGCATTGCGATCGTGAGGGGGCACATCGATACAGTGCAGCTTCTCATTACGGCTGGCGTTGATGTCAATGAGCGCGACAAGGGGTACCGTGGGACAGCATTGTTCTATGCGGCAGCATCCCACTCAATTGACTGTGTTCGGATCTTGATCGAAGCCGGCGCTGATCCCAACCTCCCTGCTGGCTATTTGGAAGAAGCTCCACTCATGACAGTGTGTTATGGACTTCGTGAATCTCGAAAGCACTCTATCCCCATAATCAAGATGCTGCTTGATGCGAGAGCGGATATCAACTATATCAGCTCGAATGGACTGACCGCATACGAGATTGCCAAACGGAAGAAAGATTCCCATGTCGCTGAGTATCTTCTCGAGCGTGGAGCTGATCTAGAGCTTGGCTTGAATGGCCGGCTTGAGAAAGATGTGTTAATGTGAAAAAAACAAAGAAAGAACATTTTCTTTTCGTTTTCAGCAGCAAGCGGAAAGGTTTATGGGGAACGACAATGCATATAGCTTGTCCTGCACACTGGGATCGAGGAGTGGGTTTGACGTTTTTGAGAACATTCTTTATTCTCTAATCACTACATGTTCAGACTCTGTCTACGCTTTACCAAGCCCTTTCCCTTCATCCTCACTCTCGTGCTCAACAGTCGCTTCAACATGTTCAGTCATCAAATGCTTGATTCCCTTCATTGAAATCACAGCAATTGTTGCAAGCGCCACAAACGGCACCACGCTCCAATAACCCAGTCTATAAGCATGCGCATACGACCAATGGCTTGCATCCCAAGCAGCCTTGATGATAGCTTCATTCATTCCAGGCACACCTGCGCCTCTGAACTTGGTCACTGAGCTGCCCTTCATACCTTTCAAGAGTGCAGGCACTGATGACTCGGGTAAACCAGCTGCGATGGCGGCAGATCCAACATCCCCGGCGAGATGCGAAGCAATGCGAGAGTTGACAATGGCGTAGATGACGGCGGTACCGAAGGCGCCACCGATGGCTCGTGCGGAGAAGGCAAGACCGGTAGCTGTTGACAGGAAGGCGTGCGGTGCTGTGAATTGGATGCAAGCGACGAGGAGTGTGAGTGGGCCAGAGCAACCGATGCCTGTCAAGGCTGTGAAGATGATTTGTTCGGTACCCCAGCTAGGTCTGATGAAGGCGAAACATATGGATGCAATGAACATAATGGCGAATGTGACAGCCAGTGGCGTTTCTGTAAATGGTGTTAATTGATGCATTGGAGAAGAAGACGATTTTGCTTACTCAGATCTTTGAACTTTGTCGCATACCATGTCACACCCAACGAAGTGATGATTGACGCAATCTTGTAGGACAACTGTCGGATGGCGATATCCCACGAGTTATCCTCGAACCCAACGTTGAGAATGAGCTGTGGTGTAACGGCATTAATGGCAGAGTAGTAGATCCAACCTTCGATCGCGAAAGCAAACGTCGATAGCCAGAAGTTTGGCCCAGTAGAGAAGAAAACGTGCGCGACGATACCGTCAGATCGACCCTTCCACTCTAGTATTACGTCAGCTTTCAGCTCTGGATTGATCCACGAGAGAGTCATTACCATAGAGACAGAATGCAATGAACAGAACGATACCGACAACGAGATTGGCACAGACGTGTGGGTTGCTCCACGGATACGCTCCACCTGCCCAGTTGAGTGCCAAAAGCATCAACGTAGCAGCAGCAACGAGTAGGAGAGAGCCGATAGGATCGCAAGCCCACATCCATTCTTTGAAGCTCATTCTAGGATAGTCGGTGCGTTTCTTAGGCCAATAGAACGCAAATAGACCGATGGATGTGATACCATGTAGTCCGACTTGAATCCAGAAGATGTAGCGCCAGCCAGAAGCGCTGAGATTGGTAACAGCGCCGGCTGCTAGACTTCCAACACTGCGAACATGTCAGTGTCTTGCGCCTTACCATATACTGATCTGCAAACTCAAAACTTACGTGCCGCCCAGAACTCCCGCAACTCCTGCCAATCCATTTGCCAGAGGTCGGTACTTCAATGGTAGAATCTCTGAGGGTATTGACTGAACGATGGAAATGGTCGCAAGCGTCGTTCCGATGAGAATGCCACCGCCAATCAACATGGGCATACTTGTCGCTTTCGCGCAAATGATAGCACCGACACAAGCGATCAGCGGAGGTATGGTAGCGAACAGTTTGCGATCTAGGACATCTGACAAGCGACCGACAGGAGGAGAGAGGACGGATTGCATAAGGAGAGGGCCCTAGACAACGTCAGAATTCAGACTACACACTCGAGCTATAGCGATCATACCTGTATGATCCAGCTCGCAATAGCAGGTTGCCCAAGCTCACGAATGATGAAAGACAGGACTGATCCCGCAGCCACTACTACAAAGACTTGCGACATGACGCTGCGTAGGATGTTAGTCAAGTCCATAAATCCTAGCTTTAGTGAACGTACGCGAAACAACAGCAAAAGACGACCATCCATGACCGCCAGGAGAGATTGACATGATGGATATCATCGTTGGCTTCCTGATCGATGGGGACAATGTGAGCTTCGCGGGCGTGAGTGGCCTCGATATGGGTAGCTCCCGTTTTGCTGTCCATGACTGCTCACGCTAGATGATAAGTTGCTATGAGAAAAGAGGCGAGAGAGGGCAAGGTCTATATTCAACATGATCAGGTATATAATCCAGTGGGGCGCCGCGCAGCGGATGCTTGGCCTGGGCATTTTGACATGGAGATGAGCGGTAGCGACGTCGTCCTCCAACGCCGTACATATCGGCAGATCAGGATGCTGGGGGATGAGCGACTCTGGAGGCCTGTTTGGATGAAGTTTACCGAATGGGCGGGACGTATGCATGCGGGGCCCCAGGTTGGGTGATGATTGGCGCCCCTTCGCTGGAATGTGATGCGGGGAGGTGCGCCTACGACTCGGTTGTCGCCTGCATCACCCCGAGATGTGTTCCTTCTCTTCTTCTCATGACTCCATAGCTGGAGTTTCCATCGCGACATGTTGTCGCTACTCGAAGGCGCCGGGAGAGGAGTTGGTGAGGGTGGAAGAGGAAGGGAAGGTCGGAGTTAAGCAGGACCGCCCCGTTGGACCCTGAGACTTTTGTTGTGCACATCTTTTGCGCGACCGTCACCCTCTACCACTCCAGCATCCCAGCGCTCGACTCAATACCGAACCTCTTAGCCCATATCCGACGCATAGTAAACTTTTCCGACGCACTTAGACTAATCCACCCACCAGGCTATGCTATGAGCAGCCCACGTCCCCTCGCAGGGCGTCTTGTCCCCCTCAGAACCAAAGACGAGGTGCGCGCCAGCCTAGAGACTCACAGCGTCTATGTCGTCGAGGTGCCGGCCAAATTTGCCAATGTTATCAAGGAGTGAGGCATTCACTCCTGGTGCACCAGCTTGATCTCTGCTAACCTTGAACCTCGCCAGTGCCGTGCAAGCAGCCCTCCCAGACTTCAAGACGTCGGAAATCTCTCATCTGCGACGCGTAGTGCAGTTCAAGTACCTGCCGCCGCATCTGCAGAAACAGTTCTATCCGCCCGCAAGGCTCCCCAGAGGTGAAGAAGATGATCCTGCCTCTGCATTATTATCTTCTACTGCACCGGCGCCCTCTGCTTCCTTTTCTGCGTCCTCGTCCTCGGCCGTTGATGGCAGTGAGGCTGCTCATGGTGTGACTGTTACTGAAGATTTTGATCTAGTTCGCTACTTCCTCTTGTGTCCGACGCGCCATATTCCCCACGCCAACCTTGCAGCTATCATACGTACCTGTCCGCCTTTCGACGGCAAGACTGCACCGCCTCGTATCTTCTACGTGACGGTCCCGTCGCTAGCACCCATATCTGCCGAGCAGGCTACGGAATGGAGCGACAAGTACTGGCCCATCTCGTACAAGAACACCAACCCCTACGGTCCACATCCAAGCCTCGTACAGCGCAACCAGGAGGAGATACAACCCGAGGCGGGCAACTGGCTGGCCCTGGCACGAGCCGCTGGCGAGCAGATATCAGAGCAGTGTCTGGGTGAGAAGATTGGCGTCGTCGTGGTCGACCGCACAAGGAGCACACCAGAAATCATCGCTGTCGCTGGTGACTGTCGCTGGAGATCTTTCACTGGCACCGCCGAACCGGCCACCGGCACTGGCAACGTCATGGCCCACGCCGTCCACCGCGCCATCGCCATGGTAGCGAAGAAGCGACTCCGCGTTGCTGGCACCGACCCCGCATACCTCGACCGCTCCCTCTTCTGCGACAATCCCCTCACCGGCCTTGAGAAGCTATACTACGAGAAAGACAACATCTCATCGAGCGGCTACCTGTGCGTCGACCTCGACATCTACCTCACCAACGAGCCCTGCGTCATGTGCTCCATGGCCATCCTACACTCGCGCTTCCGCCGCTGCATCTTCAGCAAGCGCATGCCATACACTGGCGGCATGACGGCAGATGGCCCTGGTGACTCTTCGTCAGCGGGCAGCGGACTGAAGAACGGATTGTTCTGGCGACCGAGCGAACTCAACTGGAAGTTCCTGGCTTGGGAGTTCAAGGAGGATGGCAAAGCTGCGGATGCGGATACCGGTTTCAAGGATACACTGCATGCATAGGCATGCGCACAGCGGTCTCAACTGTATTGGATACATTGTATAAACACGGCGCATTGGATTAAACGCTCGGTACAATTAAAGGAGAAGATTATACCAGTATGGATTAGAGATAATATTGTGCCAAAAGGAGAGCATTCTGTACTATAGCCAATGGAACGCAACGTCAACATTCAACGTTGGTCGAATGAGTTACGGTACTGTTGTAGCGAACAAGTCTTGTCATTGACTTCCCAGCTCATACTGTGACCTTATCCCTTCCTACCGTCTCCATCCATCTTCCCAACACTGCCCAATATCTCCATAAACCGACTCTTCCTCACATTCTTTCGACCACCCTTTCTCAAGCCAAACCCTTGCGTTCCTTGTAGCGCAAACAACGTGTACTGTTGCTCTAGCCAGTCTGTTCCGCGCGATGGTGCAGGCTTTCGTTTGATCAGCGGGCGGAAATGTGGAAGAGAGGGAGAGGTAGCGGATATATGATAAGGTCGCTGGACTGGCGGTATTGGGGTGTGTGGACTTGGGGACCGAGGAATGATGGTTCGAGTCTCGGTATCGGGTCGCAACGGTACGCAAGATGCGGTGTTGTGGAGTTGATCATTCTGCAAAGATGAATTGCGTGGACTCTGGATTGTAGACTCTGGTGTTGGCAAAGAGGCGAAAGTCAAGTTTTTTGTTGGCATGTAAGTGTGCACGGTAAAACCAGGGCGGAGAGATGATGGGATGTCCTCTTCGGATGAAGGAGAGTGAGTTGCAGAGTCATCAGAGGTGGGTGGTGAAGGTATTGCCTGAGTTGCTGCAGGAACAAAAAACTCTGTTGACGCAATTGACGATGTGTGGTTGCGTGCTGAATCAATGGGTTTAACGCTGTAAGAGGCCGAGCGAGCGGTGTCTCCCTCGATTAGGTCTTGAGTAAGAGTGCGAGATAGTGTTGGTGAAAGACGTCCGAGACACTCGAGTACTAGGTCTTGAGTGCTGGGTGTTTGAAAGGCTTCTTCACAAAAGGTATACATGTCTCTGAATATTGGTTCAGGGAAACTGAAAGATAGCGGCAAGGGTAATTGATGTGGCGATGGTGTAGGCGGTAATGGTTTATCGATGTCTACATCGGCAGTCAACGCTTGAAGTGAGGGAGGGGGACTAAGGGGGCTGCTGGGAACGACTGTATGGGCTTGATTGTGCAGCTTTGATGAGAGTGTAATGTGTAAAGATGGCCTTTTCGACTGCGATGTGCGAGTGTAGTTTCGATCTTGATGCTTATCCATGAAGCTGCGATGCTTGGTTTTTATAGTCCTTGTCGATTTTGGCGGATTATGGGACATCTTTTCCGTTGTGACAGCGGATGTCTTATTACTTCCACCCGAGTATTGTGCAGCCATCGCATTCAATTCCGGGTCGTCATCAACACTCCACTTCTTTCCGGGTACCTTAACACCCCCAGCAATGTCTTTACCCTCGTCAGCCTTTCCATGTTTATAGCATATCCCGTCTTGATGTATATGATATTCACAGCCTTTGACATCACTGCGTGCGGTCACAATATCCTCCACAGAATTTCTCATCATGCCCAGCATTCGTCTATCGTGCCCAAACATCTTGTCAGTGATGAATCGTCTCAGCACGCTTGACGCGTGCTTTTCCAAGAACAGCAATTCGAGAACCCCTTGATCGAAGGCTTGCGCTGAATCGAGAACGGAAGCTAGCGTATCGATGATATAGTCTTGGAAGTGCGGTTGCGAGAATGTTGACCCGACGATGTGCGCGTAGATGAGGTCGATGCAGGAGTCGAGACGCATTGATCTCTGAGTTGAGCAACTGAAGAAGCCGTTGGTGAGCCACTCGATGTAGAGCTTGAAGCCAGCGGGATCTACGTCGCCAAGCTGGATGGGTAGTAAAGGTCGATCATCTCGCACATGTTGTGGAAGGTAGATTTGAAGATACGGCGAACGTTCGGCTATAGCTTAATTCATGTCGATGTGCTCTGTAGGGCAATGCTCCGAGAGTGTTGTTCGGCCTGCAAGTACGAACGTTACTGACTTGAAAATCGAGACACCCAGAACCATCGCGACTCCTCGTCAAAGCTTTGACTGTAAAATTCAATGATACGGAATCGCGAAAGTGGTTGCGACATAATACGCGAGGCCGAGGTTTGTTGACTTTGCTGCAAGCTCACCAACTACGTTGTTAGGAAGATGACTGCGAGTGAATACTCTCCATGCTCCCATGATTGACCGCCTTCAGTCACGGTTGATCACAGGGGGAGACGATCAGTATGTCTGTTTGGTACCGGTAATGTGACGTGACAGATGTGTCGATGATAAACGCATGAGCCCTTCACGATAATATTACCCAGGTAGTCCATATGACCGCTCGTGCCCCAGCATAGCTGTCCACATTACACAACGCCAGCACACGATTGAAAACCCGAAGATCAATCTCACCAGGCTCAACCAAGACAGTTACCGGCTTCACCAATGAGATTGGAAAACATCTTCGCCGAGAAGATGTCCTCATCAGACAAGCGCGATACACAGAGACGGCTCGAGCGTGTCAGCATGCCTCCACGCATTTCCACCAGCTTTCCAAGAGTCAACCTAGAAGGATATCTGGCTCCTGAGAAGTCGCAACTGTTACCTTCTCCCAGCAAAGTTCCGATTTCTAGTCCAAGAAAACAGAAGAACAAGAAGGTGGACCAGATCTTCTATGGAAGTGAGCATACTCAGGATACTAATCAGAAGCCCCGCCGTAGAGCAGACATCGAGGAGCAAATAAGGCAAGATCCATACCACACACTTTTCGAAGGTGGAAACTTGCCCAGAGACCTTGACGTTATCGACGAAGTTGACACAAACGTGCAAAGACTGATGCGGTCAGAGTACCTCAGCGAAGAGTCGCCCAACACGCAACAGTCACGGATTGTCGCACCAGGATCAGTCCGAGACAAGCTTGTAGAGACACCTAGGCCACCCATGGCAAGTGTGCTATGCGGCCGACAGGATCCAGAGTCATGGTACTTGACGCGACGTTTGATTCGTATGCCAGGGAACGATGACGATGACTTAGTGTCACTGCTCAAACGCCGAAACATTGACTCAGATGCAGCGGAAATACATCGACTGTGGCGTCACACTGGCATCATTCCGACGTGTTATCGCGATATCAACTTTGATCCGGATGGCATCAATCCGCAGCATACGTGGATCGCATGCTGGCCACTGATGAATGCAGCGATACATGGGTACATGCTAGAGGACATCGAGTTCGTTGACCGAGTGATGGATCTTCTGGAAGACAAGATAGTGAAGGGTGTGCGTCCGGATGACGATACGATTTCGCATTTGTTTGGCGAGAATCGACACCACGTACCGATGATGCTGCAGCATTTCCTGGTTGATCGCTGGGTCGATCATAGTACCAGAGGCTTTGAGGACGTCGATCCGCATAGTTTGCCTGACTTCTTCATCTGCGCTGCACTCGATACGGCTATACGACGCCTCTCACATATGGCGAGACAGCCGTCATCATCTGGCTGTCAGTATCATACGCATCCGAAGTCAGTAGAGTGCTACAGGAATAGGAATAAGCAAACAGAGGCAATGAAACAAGGGCGCTACAAATATTGTCGCGAAAAAGCGAGTCGAGAGGCTGAAAAGGCTGCCGCAGATTCTATCAAGTACGGTATTGCGACAGTTGATTGGGAGGCGCGAAGAGTGGAGGCGCATCGAGCGCTTCACGACCAGGTCGATGATTACTCACCTACTGCCAGCAGCTGGATGGAGACTTCAGGCCGAGCAGTTGAAGGGATTCCATTGGAGCAGGTTGATAGGACGTACGGTGCCCCTGCGCCAGAAAGGGAGAATCCAGAATCCCACCTCAACTTTGGGTCTTCGTCAATGTTCGGGACCACGCGGGTAGATAGCGCTGCCGATGAGGTGAAGGTCGCCCCACCAGCACGCGAGCCACCGCCGCCGCCACCAACAGACATGCCTGTCGATGACCCTGATAGCACTATCGAAAGCATTAAGTACGCTGAGATTCCGAAAGAAGATAAGAAGAGTGCAACATCTGCGTACGATGACGCGATGCCCTTCGTAAAGAGTGAGGGTGACTTTGAGTCGATACCCTCAGACGCGACTGCTGTTCCGCCTGAAGTCCACGCGTGCGCACAAGCTACTTCACCAGAGAGCACGCGCCGGAAGAAGCGCGCCACATGTCCCGGATCATTTCCAGAATCTAGGTCTGGAAGTTTGAAGGAAAATATTACAATGTAGTGGATGTTCTCATGTGGTTTGCGATTGATATGATCTTAGCTGATGAAGGCTTTACCTGGTGTGGTCGTACAAGAGATACTGGTTTGTGAAATGGGCTACTCGATCATTCTCATAGATCTTCAATAATGTACCTAGGTCCAATATCATGTCCAGATGCTGTTGCATCACTCAGAAGATTGCGGTGCCGTTCACATGTGAGCTGACGCCGCCTGTCGCATGATTAGTATACTGAACAGCCACATAACACGTGTGGATTACGTACCAGGGCAGTTAGCTGGCGCAGAGGTGAAAAAAAATAACCACCTGTTCTTCTCGCGGCACGTTTGCGCAAGCTTCTCAAGATCAAGCATCTCACCGAGTGGCATTCCCCAAAGAGCAAGGATGTACTCGTGAAGATGGTAATCTAGAGATGTCAGTAGAAGCTGTTCAATGAGAAATCGAGAAAACGTACTCTCGTGCGTGGGCCACGCCTCAAAAGCAGGTGCATCACCAGCAACCAACGCGAAGTAGGAATCGTGAAGCCAGTCGAGAATCTTCTCTTCCTGGCTCACTCCAGCAAACCGCGGACCGTCTTCGCCGTCCTTACCGCTGCCGTGTCGTAGCGCAGCCTTGGTTCGGTCTTCGTCGCTCTTATTGTCGTACGCTTCCTTCCAACCACTACGAATGAATAGCATGTCTCCAGGCTTGATATCGCCACCCTGGGCGGCTGGGCGGATATCTACTCCTTGATCTTGGCCGCATTGATAAAGGTCCTGCCATGAGATAGGGTAGTAGTCAAAGGGGTCATAGTTGATGCCTTTCTTGTGCGCGTATCCGCGATAGTCCAGTAGAACACCCCGTCCTGCAACACCGTGCTCAGCCCAGTGGTGAATCGAGCATTTGTGATTTGCGTTTGGGCCCGTAATATCGCTTCCTTTAGTCTACGTCCTATGTTAGTAGCTCCTCCAAAGACGGTAACCTTGCACATACGCCATTGTAGAACGAACCGCTAGCCATGTGAGCAAAGTGTCGAAACCCGTCCCATTGGGTACCGGATTGTGTGTTCATGTGGTAAATATCATCGTAAGCAAGTCCTTCCGCCAGGGTCTTAATCTCATGTTGGAAGGGCTCGCGGCCAAATGCCGGCACGTTCGGCACGTTGAGAGGCAAGCTGCGTCGCGATTAGCTAGAGCGCACGAGATGCATCAGGGCGACACGCACTTCACAGGCACGATCTCGCCGCTTCTGATCTCCTTTGCAGCCGCTGCCACACGTGTGGGTGTTAAAAGATTGAGGCGGCCGATCTGACGTTGGTGAGTATAGTTCGCGATAAGCTTAGAGTCTGGTCGCACGCACGTAGTCGTTGTCGCCCCAAACCCAGGCAGCTTCTGGCGGAGCACCAGGGATCTGCGGCAGCTCTTTTCTGGTCGGAAATTTGGTAGAATCCGGGTCCCAGGGTATGGTAGTCGCGGTCTTATTCATAGTGAGAAAGTCTTTGATTTGCGTCAAGCGCTGACTTGCAGTATTGTTTCTGGGGTCGGTCATCTTAATTTGGCGCCGGATCCTTGTTGTCGTTCAGTACGTGGGTCACAAAAATTGCAATGCTTCGATGGATCTTTCTCGATGCTTCCCAACACATCCGCGACGTTCCTAATTACTATGACGTTTACCCCGCATTTCTGAGAGATGGTGGAGCCGAATATGTGGGGTCGTGATTCCAACTCCGCTGACTATCGTGAACCGACTCGTTCCTCTAATCTTCGTATTACAATATCGAACATCGCGCCCATGTAATTTCTCTTTGACTCGAGTTGTCGTTTCAGACAGATTGCATCGCGTGTAAACATTGGAGGGTTTCGTGGCGCTAGGGCAGGCTCACTGTTGGTGGAAGTTCTGGGGAATGATGACGTAACGCGGTTAATGACTCCAACCGTGGCGTTTGTAGGATCCGGGGATTGCCACCTTGGACTCTCTTGGCCAGAAGCTTGTCCTCTGGTCAAGAAAGTCTTGTTCGCTCCACAGAGTCTTGTTCTTAACGTCAAAGAAGATAGAGCATAAAGTCGAGTCAATGAAGGGTTTCACATCCACCGGTTGATGAGCGCTGGCAGTTTTAGTAGCACCATCACATGCACTAAGCTTTGACCGTCCCGGTGCTACGACGATTCCGGGGGAATGGACAGGTCGCCACGCGATGGATTCTGCTGCTATACAATAGAGCAACAAACACATGCTAACCATACGCCTGGCTCTCCCCCACACAACAGAATGCATCTAGGTCAAATGGTACGAGCCCAACTCACTTCCAAAAAGCCCTGATACCACCCTCGGTCTCTTGACGTCCGAGCCGTTAGTCCAGGTCACAGCGCGACCTTCCTGCGGACTATTGGCGTATCACGAGTACCTCTCCGTGGTTCGATTTAGCCGGTTGCTGTCAAGGTGTCTCCTTAGGCCGGCTCATTGGCTACAACAATCTCGCATGCTCCGGAGTAAGCACAGCTCGCGAGCAGGCGCAATTCCAGTAATACTTCCTCTAGTGCGCGCAGAGTCGTTGGAGGAAAAATGTCGTCCGCTGCGCCGTTGAACCGGCTCCCGCTGGCGTCCCTGGCGTCGCGTTAATAAAAGCATATAAACGCCTACCCCAGACTGATACCCCAGACTGCACCCCATCCCCGGATCACCTCTTCACTCCATCTTTGTGACGACTGATTTTGCAGTATGGCTACAGTCGAGAAGCCGAGCGCTCATGAGGCGGAGCACATTTCCGATACCTCAATTGACCACGCCGTGGCTTACGAGGAGGGCAAGGAGACAGGCCTAAGCGATGCTCACCTCTGTTCCGACGCAGACAACAAACGCATTCTCCGCAAGACGGACATTTGGATGTTATCGCTTCTTTGCATGGTTTACTTCCTGCAATCGGCTGACAAGGGAATCATCGGATTAACAGCTGTTTATGGTCTCAAAGAAGACGCGCATCTTAGTGGCAACGACTACTCAAACATCGGCAACATTGGATACTACGCGCAACTCGGTGTGCAACCCTTGGCGGCATGGATACTTGTCAAGCTTCGATACCGCCACGTCCTACCCGTCATCATTACCTGCTGGGGTATCTCAGTTGCCGGCGGTCTTGGTGGTTCCAGGAACTACGCCGGGTTGCTCGCATCGCGTTTCTTCCTCGGTGCATTTGAGGCTGCAGTCATTCCGCTGTTCTCGATGATCACCATTGCGTTTTACAGGCGTTCCGAGCAGCCATTCCGCGTAGCTTGCTGGTACAGCTGCTATGGTCTTAGCACTCTGATTAGTGCACCCATCGTCTATGGCTTCGGTCGCATCCACTCATCTACGCTTTACCGGTATCAGATCGTCTACCTTTTCTTCGGACTCCTGACCATCGCTATCGGCCTCATCACATACTGGTGGGCCCACGACAGTCCTGGAGAGGCTCGATTCTTGTCGCCAGAGGATCGCCTGAAGGCCGTCGACCGATTGAAGGCCAATCAACAGGGTATCGTCTCGCACAAGTTCAACTGGAAGCACGTCATTGAGGCTGTTACTGAACTCAAGTACTGGCTGTACATGATTATGGTTATTGCCGTCAACGCGGGCGCTTCAGTCTCCTCGGTCTTTGGTTCCATCATCCTCAAGAACCTGGCCGGGTTCAATGCGGATGAAGCCGTTCTACTGAATATGCCCTTTGGAGCACTTCAGTTTGTGTCCATCCTTGCTGCGTCATATCTGGCATACCGATTCAAGCGCAAGTCCCCCTTCTTGCTCGGCCTTGTCACCATCGTCATTGTCGGTGTCGCTTTGCTGGTGGCGCTTCCGAAAACCCCCTCCAACAAGGGCGGTCTACTTGCAGGCTACTACTTGATCGCCTTCGTATATGCAATTAACCCTCTTCTCATCTCCTGGATGGGTGCCAACTGTGCCGGACAGACCAAGAAGGCTATCTACTATACCTCATTCAACGCTGGCAACTCTATTGGCAACATCATCACCCCTTACATCTTCGATGCGAAGTTCGCGCCGCAATACGTAAGTAATTCCCTGTTCCAACGTTCAGGTCGAAGCTCGTCGCTAACCATACGTCTTTCTAGGTCAATGCTCTCAAGGGTATCTTGGCAATCTGGTGCATTCTTTGGGGTGTCGTCATCGCTCAAATTGTCCTGATTACCTGGATGCAGAAGAAGAAGTGCGATCAGCGTGAAGCAGCCGGTCTTCCTAGAGATCCTATCGACTATTCGATGAGCGGTCATTTCCACGAGGCTGGTGCCGAAGTTCATGGCGAGAATGGTCTGCAGGATATGACTGACAAGGAGAACATCTACTTCCAGTATTTGCTGTAGCTTGATCAGCACTGTGGCCGTACCTACATTTCTTGTTAATAGAAGATATTAATCTTACCATTCTGATCAATGAAAATAGCCCTACTGGGCCATATGTGATTGTTTTACGAGCCTGGACTTCTGTCGATGCTCAGTCGGCGCTGTTGATTAGAGCTTCAGTCAGAGATAGACTCTCGAAGATTATGACAGCTTTGTGGGAGTTCAGTTGCGAGAGGTTTGGAGGTCGCTCGAAAAGTGTCGATATGGAGAGGCTACAAGACGAGCAAGATAAGTATCGACTGGAACCTGATTCAGAAGTGACGCTTATGTAAGCTACGAATGACTACTGTGTTCCACTAGTAAGCTGCGCACCCCAGTAAGCTGCGCACCCCACCAAATCCTCACAACTCTATCTGCGCCAACGACCATGACTCAACAACTACGGCCTAAGGTGACATCTCGTGAAGGTAGACTAAGTCTCGCGATAGTCTCCTATTAGAATAAACCATGCTAATCAATCCGAGCCCTCGCGAGAGCGTATAACGTACTAGAATCTACTCTCTAGACGCGTCTCTGTGGTGTCCACCCGCGATTAGAGATAGTCTCTGTTAACCGAAAGCTATTAACTACTGAAGAGCAGTCTCTCGTGCAGTAGATCCTAGACCTTAATTAACGAGGCTTTCTGCCCTATATTATTGATGTACAACGCATGGCAGACGCTCTACTCGCAGCCCGCGGCCAAGATCCACCTCCTCTACCTATAGGCAAGAACTGGGTGTCGCGCTTTGTTAACAGCTAGTCTAAGCTTTAGACTAAGTGGAACAGGAAGGTCTATAGCCAGCGCGCTCTCTGTGAGGATCCTGTCGCAATCTTAGCGTAGTTTAACCTAGTAGAGGAGACGCGCTAGGCCTATAGGATACTAGACACAGACACGTACAACTTTGATAAGAGTAGCTTTATAATAGGCGTTGCAGCGACGTCTAAGGTAGTTACTAGCTCTAACACTGTAGGTTAGGCAGCTATAGTACAACTAGGGAACAGAGACTGGATCACGACAATTAAGTGTATCAACGCGTCTGGCTGGTGTCTTCCACCGTTCGTAATCCTGTCTGGTAAGCAGCACTAGGCTAGCTGGTACTACCACATCCCTATAGACTGGGTGCTCGCTGTATTAGACAACGGCTAGACGACAGATGAGCTTGGCGTAGAGTGGGTAAAGCACTTTAATAGATATACAGCGCCTTGTACGCATGCAGTCTACTGGCTTCTTATCCTAGATGGCTATAGCAGCTACGCCACGCCTGAGTTCAACCAGTACTGCACAGAGAATAAGATTATTACTCTCTGTATGCTAGCCTATACCTCCCACCTGCTCTAGCTACTTAATGTGGGCTGCTTTTCCCCGCTTAAGCGAGCGTACGGTCACGAGATCTAAGAGCTAGCTCGCCAAGGCGTCTACCATATTAACAAGATAGACTTCCTTACCGCCTATACACGGATCTAGCCAACAGTACTTACGCAGCAGAACATCCAGGCAGGCTTCCAGGCGACAGGGCTTATCCCTCCCTGTCCAGAACGCGTCCTATCGTCGCTCACTGTCGTCCGTACGCCGTCTCCACCAGGGACAACAGCAGACAACAACGTCGCATAGACCGCAGAGACACCGCGTACAATAGCGCAGCTTAAAAAGCAGGCTCAACACGTAAAGGACCTCCTTCACCGCCAGTCGCAGAGCCCAACAAGCCAAGCTATACGCCAGCTTGTCAAAGGCTATCAGCTTGCGATGAACTCAGCGACTATACTCGCAGAGGAGAATAGGAAGCTTCGTACAGCTAGTCAGCGCCAGCGACGTAGGAGAAACTAGCGACGTCAATATATAGCTCGTGGAGGAGCGCTACAGGCTCAGCAAGGCCAGCAGCTCGCTATAGAGGCAGAAAGGGTGGTCGCGGAGGTAGAACAAGCTCAGGCTACTCAGGGACGTCAGCGCGCACCACCAACGTGTACGAAGTGCCATATCCAAGGACACACTAGGACTCAATGTAGACAGTAATAGACTAGCTATGTACAAGATTGTATTCTATTATCTTATGTTGTTGTAGAGCTATCGCGTAGAGAGTCGCGTCAAGTTAGGTGGGGTGCGCAGCTTACTGGGGTGCGCAGCTTACTACGTACAGTAGCGGGTCAGCTATTGCCCCGGGTCAGCTAACGCCCCGCCCCAACACCATAACAACAAAACTTCAACGCGTCACAACTCAACCAATATGGATCCGATTCAAGAAGCGATCAAATTTATCGAATCGCACAAGCTAGGAGATAAATTCTCGTACACAAAAGTTGCTGCCCAGTTCGATATTGAGCGCAGTACGCTCGCTCGAAGGCACCAGGGTGTGCACGAGCAGCGCGGAGTCTCCCAACGATCCCTACACCCAGAACGCGAAGCCGAGCTTGTACGATATATTGAAACGCTTACTGGACGCCGTTTGCCGCCTACAAAAGTAATGATACAGCAGTTTGCTAGCCAGTTGGCTGGCAAACTAGTCTCTGATACCTGGGTTAAGCGGTTTCTCCGCCGTCATCCTAACTATCTTATCTCTTAATCGGGCAAAGCTATAGCCAAGGAGCGGACTAAAGCTAATTTAGGAGCTAAATATAGCTTGTACTTTAAGCTGTTATATAAAAAGATAGAGGAGTATAATGTCTAGCTAATATATATATTTA